CATCTTGTTGACCTTGATCGGACCAGTGGTGCACGTGATTACCATATGACAATTGCTTATGACGTAAGTAACGCGAGCTAAATTATTCAAGATGGCGCAGAAAAAGCAGACATACGACGAAACACGCTTGCTGAAAAGGTCACCCTTCAGTACCACAGGAATCCCAAGATTATGAGTTGCGTTCTCCTAACGTCGAACGCAATGAGATAGCCTATCTTTTCACTACCTGTGTCGAAGATAGTTTTAAGATAGGTTATCAAGTGTTTCACGAGAAACGTGTAGCTTTCAAATAGCCTATCGTTTCACTATCTATTCGAAGATAGCGTTTGTATCGCATATTAAATGGCTTTATGGATAATGGATAGCTTTAAGATCTATCTTTTTACTATTTACTAGTAAATTAGTATTTAGATAGTAGGGAGTTTAACTTTAAAAAATGAAAATAGCCATCAGCTAGTCTAGGTTTTAACTAACTCCAGTGAAGATCGTATTCAGGTAGTTGAGATAGTAGTAGTTGGTTAGGCTATCTATTTGCTGTCTACTTAGTTAGTTAGTTTTAAGATACTCTATCTATCTCCTAACTACCTGGCAGATATATAATAGCTCAAAACTTGGATAGAGATAGCTATGCACTATCTGCAAAACCTCTAAAATAGAAAAAGAAATAGCAAGTTTTGTTGAGGAACTAGATTTTAGATAGTTGAAACCAGTTATAAGGTAGAAATGAACTAGAAATAAGGTATGACCATTTTTGCAAGAGGCGTCCAATATACGCGAGATAAAACTACTTTTCTTGAGTTGATGTAATGGACAGTAAAAAATGAAAACTTGGTCAAGTTGTTCAAATTGTCACTAGTATAAATGATTTCCTGACAAAAAAGGGAAAGAACGTCCACGGGTCATTAAGTATAACAATAGTCATTTCGATTCCCCTTAAGATAATAAGTTACCCTTCTCAAGTAACAAAGGTTTCTTTCTTGCATGGTTTTTACTGAAATTGAAGTTGATAAATCAACCTCAAATTAGGAATTCAGGATCACATTTCACCCAAATAAAATACTTTAGTTGAGAAAACTCATTATAATGATAATTTCCTCTATTTTTTTCTTGAAGAAGTCAGTAATTTTAAATACTTATGCTTCGGAATTTTTACAGGTTGCTAAACACTCGAAAACACACACAAAAAATAATACTCAAAGGCAGTCCAAGTTCGGTGTATAAACTAGGGGTACCTTCGGCAAGTGCCAACGAGGCGAATTCGTTTATCTTTTGTGGAATGTGCCTATTCAGATCTTCGCGATATTTTTTTCATAATTTTAGAGGTTTAAGATGGATTCCGCAAAAGAGAAGGTTGGCACCCAACTTCAAAACAACAACTTTGGCACATTTTAGGCTTTCACTTTTATTAAACAATCACAACATGGCTTGAAGCTTTGTTGGTAAATATGAGCAAGTTAGCACTTATGTTTCTTGGAAAATTCCATTGTATCAAAACTATAAACGTTAGAAAGAAAAATATAGTTTAAATGAGGCCTTTGACTGCTGAAATTAAAAATAATAATTAAATTCCGAGCAACAGGGTCATCAGGGATAAGAAAATATTTCGCGTGGTAATATTACACCAGAAAAAATCGGTGTAAAGTGTGTGAAAAGCGCAAGAATGGGGCGGAATGTATGAGAGGTATTAATGAAAATATAAACTTGAATAAAATACAAAGATTTAATGAGCGAGTGTCACAGGACAAAGAGTCTCTTGAAAGGCATAATGATAGTCTTCAAAACAAAAAGGTCCGCAAATTCGTTGCATTCCTCACGGGAGTTTTGGGCTGTCTCGATGTAAATCGAGCAGCAAAAAAACATGCTGGTTGACAAAATCTCTCGAAAGACATAAATAAATTCTAAAAAAGAAAAGGTGCGCAAACACGTTGCATTCCTCACGGGAGGTGAGGACTGGCTCAATGTCAATCGACCTGGGAAGAACACGCTGGTTCTGATAAACGTTTTGAGAATATAACCCTATGCCTTGATCAACTACCGCTTAAAATTCAATTCACAAAGGAAAAGAGAACACTGAAAACCCTGGTTCTGAGTCGAGAAGCGAACACGCTACCTCAATGTAAATCGAGCTGCAAAGAACAAGCTGGTTCTGACAAAAATTTGAGCGTAAAACCCTATTCCTTGATCAGCTGCTGCTTTAAACAATTTTTAAAGCAAATCAGAGTACTAATTGCCCTTTCAAACTAGAAATCGTATTAAAGCTTGCTCACCTGTTAGTTCCTCTCGAACAGACAACGAACAGCTGCTCAGTGAATCATCCAATTTCAGACCACGAGTTGCAAATATAAGACAATGACGTCACTACCAAAATATGGGGTCTTACTTACACCCAAATATGGTCAAAAATACAAATTTTAGAGGGTTACGCAGAATTTGAGAGTTTTTGCCCACATTGCGCGGCGTTATAATTCTGCCGCCGAGGCAGCCTCGCTTCTTAGATCGGTTGCCTCATTGGCAATTACCGCGTGTTTTGATACTAGGGAACTTAAGAACCACGACGACGGCTTGGAAGTGAGTTACACTGTACTGCGCAAGCGTGACCAGTAAATTTCGTCGTCGTGGTGTCGTCGACGACGCCAAACAAAGTACAATCACGTCATCCTGTAATCCACACGCTTCGGCAGGTATAAATCCACTGTTTTAAGCGATTTTTGAAGGCCTTTGCGTTTTCTTGTCCTCCTAAATCCAGGTATCGTTCCTTTTTTCTCCTAACAAGCGATGTTGATTGAAAATTCGACTAATGAATTGATTTTACTTTGAAGAATGACAACAGCTGAGGAGGCCGAGCGAGCGAACTCGTAAGTGAATTGTGATAAATTTATTTGTACGTATTTAGGTAAGGCAAATCATATATCTTTAATATAGAGGAAATAAACTTTATATGGAAAACAGCTATCACATCAGAATGTCTCTTTTTCGAAATCTAAACTCTGACAGACACTCGGACTCGGTCATCTCATTCAAGTTGAAAGTTGAATAATTTCGTACGGAAAGTAGGTGTATTTCCACTCGAAAAGGTCAGACAACACAAAAAATTTTTCATCGTCAATGAAATTAGACGTACGGCTTGAACAAATAAGATCTTGCATTGTTTTGAAAGACGCCATTGCGAAAAACTTTGTTGCGAACGAACATCACAGTTTTACATCTGTGTTTACATTCAGTGTCGTCGTCATCGACCTACCGACTGCATCTTAACTTTCCTTTTTCCCGCCGAAACTGACGTTCTCGTTCCAGTCTTTTCGCAGTCAACAGACGTCGTCGTCGTGAACTTCGTCGTGGTTCTTAAGTTCCCTATTGTTTTGCATGTTACGCCAGACGTTTTATGAGAATAGGCCATTTGTACTTTGACAACATTTTACTAGTACGACCAGAATCCTTTAGGGTTTTGCTTTCTCCTGCAAATTAGGGCTTTTTTTTATTTACTGTGAAACTCACAAAGCCGTGAACACTAGAAATATTTATGAAATGTTATTGTTTTGCGAGAAGTTAGCCAATAAGGAGCGAGATAACTAAACCGCAAACAGCAACGGTAATTAGTTTGTGGTTTTGAAGTTTGCTTGCGTATCCTGAACTTTATTGTAATTGGCCGGTGCACAATCAACATTCCTGAAATATTTCAGGTGTTCACGGTTTTCTGAGTTTGACAGTAAACCTCAATGTCATTACAAAATTCAAATATGAAAGGGAAAACGAAAGGGATTCTGGTCGTAGTAGTAAAACGACGCCATCGTGCAAATGACCTACTTCACAAATATAGAAATAAACTTCGCTTACGTCCATCCGTCTAGTTTGTCCATCGGTCCGTCCCTCTGTCCATCAGTCTAGTTTGTCCGTCCTTCCCTTCGTCCTTCCATCCGTCCAATCCAACCGTTTATCCAATCCATCTATCCAATCAGTCTGTCCGTTCTTCCGTCTAGTCTGTCCTTCAAGGCTATCCGCCCCTCCGTTCTTTCAGCCCGTGCGTCCGTACTGTCCGTCTGTCAAGTTCAATCTATCCGGTCCTTCCCGTCCGTCCGTCCATCTAGTTTATCCAGTCCATTTGTTCGCAGTCTGCCCAGTCCGTCTGTCCGTTCGTCCGTGCGGATGTCCGTCCGACCTTCCATCTGTGCGTTCGTTTGTTTAGTTATCCGTCTGTCTATCCAATTCATCCGTCCATCCAATCAATCCGTCCGTCTGTCCGTTTGACTAATCCATCCGTCCAGTCCGTCCACCCGTCCGTCTAATCCGTCCGTTCATCTGTCTGATTTGTCTGTCCGGAGGACTTAAACAAATCAGAAACGGAGACATTTTTTAAATGAATTATAAATTTATTAACTTACAAAAAAACAATTGGAGTTATCATACTTTGTAAATTTAGGATTTAGATCAGCTACTAGTTTCTCTGCAGACCTAAAGCTACGGTCAAACGGACAACAAAAACGTGCGACTTCCTTTGCAACATTGCTGCAAAACGACTTGAGAAGCTATGTTGCGCGTTTTACCACCTACGTTCAAACCTGTTTGTTTTGCAACAAATCAGGTTGTTGCAAGTTGCGAAAATACTGACTTATGATTGGATAAAATTACGCGGAAGTCGCGCTATAGCTGTGAGTTACGTCCCTTGTTTCAAAACAAGCTTTCGTTGGGCCTGTTAAACGCACAAAATGTACAGATTTTGTTGCAAAAAGTAGAACTACTCATTACTTTCTGCAACAACATTTTGCAACCTGCAACAACCTGACGTTTGATTCGTGGGTGGTAAAACGCACAACATCACTGCTCAACTCGTTTTTCAGCAATGTCACAAAACAAGTTGCACATTTTACCATACCTCAACAGAAATTACGTTCACACGATTTACAGTCTATATACGACACAAAGCAAAAACAAAGCAAAAAACAAAACAATGGGAAAAGCAGCAAGAGTAATAGGCTGAACGGTGTCTTGTGTTGCCTTGATGGCTAAGCCTCTTTGGTGTCACGGAACTGCAGTTCACCTCTAACAAGAAACCAAAAACAAAATGATAAATATAAACTGAAACATCATTTTAAAAATGTTCCACCATGGAAAGTTCTTGCGATGGTCTGACTTTAGATTGCGTGGTAAAAATATTTAATTTTAACGACCGGATTAATTCTAGCCGTACTAGGCTCTAAAATTGTGTTCACAGTATAACGTTTGGACCGCCACGATAATCATACAGCATTGGGCTTCTGTTCTCACAAAAGAACGGTTGTGGCGGCGCGATTTGTGTGACGGAACGAGAGTGGAGCGTCACATATGGGATAGGTTTTGTGCCATATTTTAGTGCAGTTTGAACACGTATTCGCTTCGTCGCGGAAGTAAGAGTTCGCTTGCGTTTGACAAAGTGAATGAGTTGGAGTAATCGCGATAGAGATTAAAAGAACACATATTCACTTTTTAAGCCACGTTTTCGTGGTCTTCGCTGTCGTGCTATCTTAAACTCCCCATTGGATATATGTGTGTGAACGACTTTAGGGCTGCCCGCCCTAGGCCGCTTCTGTCCATATTATACCAGATAGCTTCCTTGGGGGATAGCTTTTCGTGGCGCCACGAAAGGCTATCCGGTATAGTTCAACCCTTTCACTGCCAAATTTAACCAAAAGCAAATTTCGACCAAATTTCGAAATTTCACGTTCTGAAATTTTGAAAAACAGATAGCATCGTGTGAAAGAACAGGCAAAGAGCTTTCATTTGAATGGTCACATTATAGGATTTCATCCACAGACTCAAAAGTTAGAGTCCCCTTAAAATCTCCATCAAGCATTCTCGCAGTGAAAGGGTTAAAACATAGCCTAAGATGGTAGGGACGTCGTGAAAACAAGGTGCACGTGACATGTGATTTTTTTTTGGCATCTGCATTTACGATCTCTGCACATTACAATTTTTGAGCCTGGAACAGGCTAGATTAAGGGCTGTTTACATGGAGGTGGGGGACCTCATGTAGGTGAGGTAAACCGCTTAGGTGGGGCAACCCGCCTGTCCATATAATCGCCCGTTTTAAGTTGATCACGTGTACATGATAAGTGGGATGACCCGCCACATTTTACCCCACCTATCTGGGGCCCACCACCTTCATGTAAAAAGGAACTCATCCCTGTTGTGCACTAAGCTCGTGAATTCTAAAGCCGATGGGTTTTGATCCAAATTATAATAAAGAAGAGAAGTGTGTTAAAGCTGAAATATGATCATATTTACCCATCATACAAAGGGTTTACTGCTCCTTCTAGAGGTTCCTGGCCAGATCTGCAAATCAAAAATACGTAACATGTAATTAAATAAAATAACAGCGCTTTGTATAGGTAATAGCATGATTTGTAGTGATATTTGGCATAAAGACCACGAGTGATATTTCAAAATTGTTACACGTAAGTTCACGAGCCGTTAGGCAAGTGAAATTTGAGACAATTTGGAAATATCACGAGTGGTATTTATGCCAAATATCACGTCCAAATCATGCTATTATTTGTTTATACTACTACCCGCAAAAGGTTTGTAATTTTCACATGTAGGTATTTCAAATTAAGCAGAAATACCGCTACTATAAGCCAATCAAATGACTGAAATTTCTCATGTAGTAGTATAAAAGAAATAATGGTACATAAAACGGCACTGGGTTGCCCCTCTGGGTGGAGCCCCTTTACCCCCGTATAAACTTTGCCGGGCCAGGAAAACTGACTTAAGTATATTCATTTTAAGATTACTTACTTCTGGAATGTCACATGCTGAATCTCCAAGTTTTTATTTGATCTCCTTCTGTCATAGAATAAGCAGAAAAACGATAGCATTGTCATGGCTGCATATACAGTCCTGGGAGGGGAGGGGGGAGTACTCAGGATTTCAAGTGACAGGGATGATAGAAAGGGGGCAAAAATCAAAACCCAAAAAATCCCTAGGGCTTCAAACAAATTCCAGGAAAATCCCTGAACCAAAATTTCACGCTGAATTTCCGAGCCAAAATAATCTTTTCGCGGAACTACGCGGCCGGGATACGTGAGAACTATCTCGAATCTTGAGATTGTTTTGAATACCCAAAAAAAGGCCTACTTAAATCAAGCTACCCAGAAAAATACCTGCCAAAATTTTCCAATCCAAAAATATCCTGAAATCGAAAATTTGAAACCCCCCCAAAATCTTTGATCATCCCTGTCACTTTAAATCCGGAGTACCCCTCCCCACTGGGACAGACAGCGTTCTAGTACCCGACTGGTTTTAATTTCACTAAGTTCCTATTTGTTTCCGTGTTATAACAAATTGAACGAAATGAGTTCAAACGAAAGCCAAAATTCCAACTGTTTTCCTGGCAAGCGAAAGGAAAAAAGTGGCACAAAAATTTCCTGCTTTGGCCTTTACACTAGAGAGTGTTAGCGTTGACAACGAGTGCGATTTCGACAATCGTTATTGATTTGAAGTCGATTGCTGCGCCTGTCACGTAAGCGAGTATTTCGAAATCAAATCGAAACTGTTGCTCCTGATCCTTTAAAAATCTCGTTCTCGCCACCTCGACTTTTCGATGAAAACTTGCCGTAAAAACGACTAGAGCATGTGCAGTTGCGAAGAACCGATGCGCTCAATCGGCAAACTCGTTGTCAACGCTTACATTCTCTATTTATCTTCAGCGCACCGCCATTTTGAATTTTTTGACGTTTTCCTGCTGCTTTCGCTCTTTACGAAAGAAAGTCGATTCCTCTTCAATCTCCAATTTTCAGTTTCCATTTAACTACATCTGTTGCAGGTTCTCTTAAAAAATGTATCATGGCGTTTCTAGTGAGGCGTGATCCTACCTTCTCCAGTAGAAGAATCCAACCAATAATATAAGGGCGACTAAAACGAAAACAACCACTGGCGCAACGATCGCCGAGATCTTGGAATCTGAAAAGAGTTTACAAAACACTCTTCAGGAGAAAAGAAGGGTCGGTTATTATTTTATTCAAATGAAGTCTAACTTAGACTACGGTTTAGGAATTCTTTGGACCTCCAGATCCCTTCCTTAGTGAGTGATTTTAAGAAGACAAATGCTTTTCTAGTCTACGCCATGTGCTATCATGAAACTGTTTACGATGGGTTTACGTAAAAGCGTTCGGCAAACTGAAAATGGCTCAGAACACGGTTATAATTAACACTGGCTGAACACTGGCAAAACTCTCTGGAAAAGTGGAAACTGGCCGAAAAATACTGAAGGCAATGCTTACACAAAATTTTTTTGGGGGGGAAATAAGGTGCATTATGGGAAATGTAGAAGTGGCGTATTGGTTTTACAAATTAAAATAAGAAGGCAAAAAAAAATTCTGATAGTTGTTGTCCAATACCTTCATCATGAAAATGGCCTATTAGTATAGGTAATAGCATGATTTATAGTTATATTTGGCACAAATACCACCAGTGATATTTCGAAATTGTTAGACATAATTTCACGAGCAGTTAGACGAGTGAAATTTGAGACAATTTTGAAATATCACAAGTGGTATTTATGCCAAGTATCACGTACAAATCATACTATTATTTGTTTATACTACTACCAACAAAAGGTTTGTAATTTCAACATGAAACATGAAATACCACTGCTCTAAGCCAATCAAATTGCAGAAATTTCTCATGTAGTAGTATATATATTAGAGTAACGATAACGTTCATTATAATAATAATAATAATATATGGAAATAAATCCCTGCAAGTTTTTGGAAAACTACCGAGGTCCTTAACTTTCGCGTTAAGAAAAAGTAGCTATGCAAAGCTATACTTCAAAAGAACTCAACGAACTGAAATCCAGCCATAATGCTTGAGGACGTCAAAGACTCGGGACAAAAGAGGAGCAATAGTGGAACAGCGATGGTGGAACAGAGTGGTGCAACTGTCGAACAGTGATGGTGAAAAAGCGGGACAATGATGGTGGAACAGTGTAAAGGAACAGTAGAACAGTAATAGTGGAACAGTAATGGTGGAACAGTGTGGTGCTACAATGGAACAGTGGGACAGTGATGGTGGAACAGTGTAGTGGTACAGTGGAACATTGTTAATAAAACAACGAAGTGGAACAGTGAAAAAGTGATGGTGGAACAGTGGCACAGTGTTAGTGGAACAGTGATAGTAGAAAAGTGGAAATATGTTGGTATAAGAGTGTTGCTAGAACAGTGAAACAGTGTTGGTGGAACAGTGTGGTGGAAGAGCGTGGTGGAACAGAGGAACAGTGTTTGTAGAACAGTGGAACAGTGTTGGTGGAACAGTGTGGTGGAACAGAGGAACAGTGATGGACGAACAATGTGGTGGAACAGTGGAACAGTCTTGGTGGAACACTCACAGTGGAAAAGTGAAACAGCGATAGTGGAACAGTGTGGTGAAACAGTGGAATAGTGATGGTGGAAAAGTGAAAGTGGAACAGTGGGGTAGAAAAGTGGAACAGTGTTGGTTAAACAGTGAAACAGAGATGGTGGAACCGTGGAACAGTGGGAACAGTGGAATAGTGATGGTGGAAAAGTGAAAGTGGAACAGTGGGGTAGAAAAGTGGAACAGTGTTGGTTAACAGTGAAACAGAGATGGTGGAACCGTGGAACAGTGATAGTGGAAAAGTGTGGTGGAAAAGAGGAACAGTGTGGGTGGAACAGTGTGGTGGACAGGTTTTGGTGGAATACTCATAGTGGAACAAGTAAAAAGGCGATGGTGGAACAGTGGAATAGTGATGGTGGAACAGTGATAGTGGAACAGTGATGCTGGAACAGTGTAGGTGGAACAGTGATGGTGGAACACTGAGGTGGAACAGTGTTCGTGAAAGAGTGGCCCAGTGGAACAGTACATGAAAATGGAACAGTAGAAGATGGATGGTGAAACAGTGTGGTGGAACAGTGGAACAGTGTTCGTTGAACCGTGAAACAGTTATGGTGGAAGCGCGGAACAGCGATAGTGGAACATTGTGGTGGAACAGTTTTGGTGGAACACTGGAACAGTGATGCTGGAACAGTGTACGTGGAACAGTGATGCTGGAACACTGAGGTGTAACAGTGTTGGTGAAAGAGTGTGGTGGAACAGTGGAACAGTGGTTGTGGAACAGTGTGGTGGAACAGTTTTAGTGGAACAGTGGAACAGTGATGCTGGAACAGTGTAGGTGGAACAGTGATGGTGGAACACTGAGGTGGAACAGTGTTGGTGAAAGAGTGTAGTGGAACAGTGAAAATGGAACAGTGGAAGAGTGATGGTGAAACAGTGTGGTGGAACAGTGGAACAGTGGTTGTGGAATAGTGGAACAGTGGAACAGTGATGGTGGAACAGTGTAGGTGGAAAAGTGATAGTGGAAAAGTGAGGCGGAACAGTAAAACAGTGTTTTTGGAACAGTCTGGGGAACAGTGGAACAGTGTTGGTTGAACAGTGAAACAGTGATGGTGGAAGCGTGGAACAGTGATAGTAGAACAGTGTGGGTGGAACAGTGTGGTGGAACAGTTTTGGTGGAACAGTGGGACAGTAATGCTGGAACAGTGTACGTGGAACAGTGAAGCTGGAACACTGAGGTGTAACAGTGTTGGTGAAAGAGTGTGGTGGAACAGTGGAACAGTGGTTGTGGAACAGTGTGGTGGAACAGTTTTGGTGGAAGAGTGGGACAGTGATGCTGGAACAGTGTACGTGGAACAGTGATGGTGGAACACTGAGGTGTAACAGTGTTGGTGAAAGAGTGTAGTGGAACAGTGAAAATGGAAAAGTGGAAGAGTGATGGTGAAACAGTGTGGTGGAACAGTGGAACAGTGGTTGTGGAATAGTGGAACAGTGGAACAGTGATGGTGGAACAGTGTAGGTGGAAAAGTGATAGTGGAAAAGTGAGGCGGAACAGTAAAACAGTGTTTTTGGAACAGTCTGGGGAACAGTGGAACAGTGCTGGTTCAACAGTGTGGTGGAACAGTGAAACAGTGCTGGTGGAACAGTGTGATAGTGGAGCAGTGATAGTGGAACAGTGATGGTGGAACAGTGTGGTGGAACAGTGGAACTGTGTTGGAGGAATAGTGGAACAGTGGAAAAGTGTTGGTGGCACAGTGTGGTGCAACAGTGGAACAGTGGAACAGTGATAGTGGAGCAGGGTGGTGGATCAGTGGAACAGTGTTGGTGGAACAGTGGAACAGTGATGGTGGAACAGTGTAGGTGGAATAGTGATAGTGGAACAGTTTGGTGGAATAGTAAAACAGTGTTTGTGGAACGGTGTGGTGGAACAGTGGAACAGTGAAAGTGCAACAGTGTTGTCGAACAGTGTTGGTGGAACAGTGGAACAGTGAAAGTGGAACATTGTGGTGGAACAGTGGAACAGTGATGGTGGAACAGTGGAAGAGTGTTTGTGGAACAGTGTGGTGGAACAGTGGAACAGTGTTGGTGGAACAGTGTGATGGAACTGTGGAACAGTGTTGGTGGAATAGTGGAACAGTGATGGTGGAACTGTGTGGTGGAACAGTGGAACAGTGATGGTGGAACAGTGTAGGTGGAACAGTGGAACAGTGATGGCGGAACAGTGTGGTGGATCAGTGGAACAGTGTTGGTGGAATAGTGGAACAGTGAAAGTGGAACAGTGTGATGGAACAGTGGAATAGTGATGGTTGAACAGTGTGGTGGAACAGTGGAACAGTGTTGGTGGAATAGTGGGATGGAACAGTGGAACAGTGTTGGTGGAAATGTGGAACAGTGTTGGTGTAACAGTGGAACAGTGATGGTGGAACAGTGTAGGTGGAACAATGAAAGCGAAATAGTTAGGTGGAACAGTAAAACAGTGTTTGTGGAACAGTGGAACAGAGTTGGTGGAACAGTGTAATGGAACAGTGGAACCTTGGAATAGTGGAACAGTGAAAGTGGAACAGTGTGGTGGAACAGTGGAATAGTGATGGTTGAAGAGTGTGGTGCAACAGTGGAACAGTGTTGGTGGAATAGTGTGGTGGAACAGTGCAAAAGTGTTGGTGGAATAGTGGAACAGTCTTGGTGGAGTAGTGGAACAGTGATGGTGAAACAGTGTTGGTGGAACAGTGGAACAGTGTTGGTGGAACAGTCTAATGGAACAGTGGAACCGTGGAATAGTGGAACAGTGAAAGGGGAACAGTGTGGTGGAAGAGTAGAATAGTGTTGGTGGAGCAGTGTAGGTGGAACAGTGATAGTGAAATAGGTGGAACGGTAAAACAGTGTTTGTGGAACAGTGTGGTGGAACAGTGGAACAGTGGAACAGTGATGGTGGAACAGTGTTGGTGGAACAGTGATTGTAGAACAGTGTGGTGGAACAGTGGAACAGTGGAACAGTGATGGTGGAACAGTGGAACAGTGATGGTGGAAGAGTGGAACAGTGTTTGTGGAACAGTGTTATGGAGCAGTGCTGGTGGAACAGTGGAAGTGGAACAATGTGGTGGAACAAGGAAATAGTGATGGTGGAACAGTGTGGTGGAACAGTGTGGTGGAACAGTGGAACAGTGTTGGTGAAATAGTGGAACAGTGATGGTGGAACAATGGAAGAGTAATGTTGAAAAAGTGTGGTGAACAGTGAAACAGTGTGGGTGGAACGATGGAACAGTGTTGGTGGAACAGTGAGAGTGGAACAGTGGAACAATGACGGTGGAACAGTGTGGTGGTACAGTGGAACAGTGTTGGCGGTTTAGTGGAACAGTGATGGTGGAACAGTGTGGTGGAACACTGAGGTGGAACAGTGGAATAGTGTTGTTGGAACCGCGATGGTGTAGGTGGAACAGTGATAGTGGAACAGTTTGGTGGAATAGGAAAACAGTGTTTCTGGAACGGTGTGGTGGAACAGTGGAACAGTGAAAGTGCAACAGTGTTGTCGAACAGTGTTGGTGGAACAGTGGGACAGTGAAAGTGGAACAGTGTGGTGGAACAGTGGAACAGTGTTGGTGGAACAGTGGAATAGTGATGGTGGAAGAGCGTGGTGATAGAGTGGAACAGTGATGGTTGAACATTGGTGGTGGAACAGTGATGGTGAATGAGGGATTGGCCTTTGGAAAAGGCCAATTTTGCTGTTGGGTGAAATTCACGTTTCTGTTATCTAGAGTTATCTAGAAAGTCTTGAAAGGCTTCCACAGGTACATTTTCTTGGTCTATTTTGCATAAAAACAAAAGTTGAGGAAAACTACATGCAGCTTGCAATTCAGCATCCAGGCACTTTCGGGGAAACTAAAGAAAACCATCTCGCTATTAAAAAGTCATTTAGCCGCAATGCAAAGCTATGCTTCAAAAGAACTCAACGAACCAAATCAAACTACTTGAAGACGTCAAAGACTCAAAGAGAAGAGCAAAAAACCACAGAAAATCAATCATCAGGTATTAAAATTAAAAACACACCGGCTTTATATTTAACGACAAACAACGTTTCCTAAGTTCAATCAAAACAAAGAATCCTCCTGTATTGTAATCCATTCCCTTTGGTTAGAAAGAAAAGAAACAGAGCAAGCGGGTTTTTTAATAAGGGAGCCGTAAAAAGTCCTGACAACAAAGCCAAACTAAAGAGTATTTTCACTGAAGTGTTTTTTAATTCGGTTTTTTGATTACCTTTTCTCCGTTGCGCCGTAGATGTTCCCAGTTTCCCTTCCGGTTTTTCGTTTCCAGTGGAAGTAATTTTTTCACTCGATGTTGTCTTTGTAGTTTGTTCCGTTGGCGGTGCAGTCGTAGTTGAAGAAGGAACTACATAAAAACAGAGTATAAAAAATTCCCTAAGGGGTTTGTTAAATGCATCATCATCATCATCATGATCATCATCATAATAAATAATAATAATAATAATAATAATACGGTAAGTTGAGTCTGCCTGATATTTTTGGAAGCGCACAGTTGTCAGCCATCGTTGGTGCTGCCAATATCTGCGGAATTTGTTGTCTCTAAGCTGCGCGTGGGATTGCCGCTGAACTGGAGAGGATCACACCATAATAATAATAATTACTTTATTTAACCTTAGCAGTATTTATAGCACCATTTTGGCATCGGGAGAGCGCGTAACCTCCTTCACTAAACATAACAATGCTAACTTTTCCAGTGAAAAATGGTAAAATGAAGCTTTCCGGGAAGTTCATATTTTGACAAGACGCGGAAAAACTTCAAGTCAAATCTCGTAAGCGTAGTCGTCCTCGAATCTAAAGGTCTCTAGTTAAACGGAGAGAGAACAGGGTGCCCAATAGGGTTCTCCAATCCCGTAATCTCGACCCAAAATTTCGTGCAATTCCGTAGTCCCGAGGGTTATTTCGAGCATTCTAACTTGCGTGCATACTTTCAATCCCGAATCTTGCCCGATTTTGCTTTAAAATCCTGAATCCCGAGCTTCAAATAAGGGAAATCCCGGATCCCGATAGACCTATTGGGGACCCTCAAGATTGACTAGTTCAGAAGTTTAGGCTGCGGTGACTTCAAAGTTTTGACTTGATTGAGGCAGAGTCTCTCTTCTTCTCTTTACACAGGAAGGCAAAAGAATACTCTGCTAGCAGCATGACTCGAAAATATTTTGCATGGAAATTTTCTCCTTACTAACCTGGACATCCATATATCTCCAGTCTCATTGATATCTGATTGTGCCACTCCACTGGTAAGATACGGATTAGACGTGCTGTGATTGGTGGGGCTAACACGTTATACACCACGGTATCGCTGTCGTGATTTGCGTAAAATACCTTTAGAACAAAGATGAAAGAGAACAGTTGGGTTATTCCTGTTTAGCAGACATTTTAAGGGATTCAGGGTAAGGTTCTAAAGAGCCTTCGAAAAAGGGTGCAAATAATATAACTATTGTCCCACAAGTATAAACCTCCCCTCGATTTCTTTAGCGAAGAAATACAAAATAATTGCCTTTCGGGCAGGAGGAAAAGCAAACTAATGTTTTACCTGCACCCGAACCACACAGAACGATATCACTCAAGATGCCATTTAACCCTTTAAGCCCTAAGATCAAAATTTGAATTCTCATTTGTTGTCCCTATTCATTTCCTACAGAAGTAGTGGGGAGGAGTTGATAAAATATCACGCAAATTCTTCTTGTGTGATCATATCCGTAATTCTCATGATCACTCTGTTTTACAAAGCATTGATATTACAAGGAGAAATTTGATGCTGATCAATCTTAGGGCATAAAGGGTTAAATTACTTGAAGATTTTTCCCCACATGACTCTTTCGCCCAAAGGGCCATTGCCTTCCCTGCGAGAGGTGTTGTGATCATGTGACCTCTTCGCTCCAGCCTTTAGTAGTTTATCGAAGTCCTAATACCGGTAGGTTAAAAAGGTATACGCCGCTGGAAAGGGTGGGGTTTTCAAGCACTCTAGTCTAGTACAGGAAATAGAAATCAGAGGGATTTAGTTTGGTATCATTTATAGAAAATAAAGAGGAAAAGTCTGACGTTACGTTATCTTGGTTGCAAAATTTTTGGATCACAACAATAGCAAGCTCATATAACATACGACGACAGCGACGCCAAAGAGAACAGAAAGAGAGCAACAGATTTATAGCGGAGCTCCACCTGCGCGCGCAGCGCGCGCGTGGACGGAGCCCCATAGCTAAGGAAATGTGGTAATCTACCCATCCGATAAAATTTGGTAATCACGTGACCGTACGCCCGACCGTCCGTCCGCACCACAGGGGAAGCAATGTTTACTCTCACACTTTCTAGCTAGTTTGGGAGCCCAGTAGAAAACTAATTGCACATCAATATTGTGATCAATTGACAGCTGTAAAAACAGGACATCCGCTGACCAGTATCATCTGACCGTACCGCGGGCTCAAGTGTCGACCCATCGAGGTCGAGTACTTTTTTGAAGTTATCCGCTGACAAATTACCAGTTTCAAATGATCGCAGGCTCAAGTCTACTTTTTCCAATGATTCATTTGAAATATGTTGTGTTTATGTCACTATGGCCCCGCACTGTCAAGATTTTGATTTCAAACTGACCTCAGACGCAAAAATTCAGCCGCTTTTTTAAAAATAAAGACGGGGAAGACCTTTTCTTACCATGGTCACGCGTTGGTCACGCTCTACGTCCAATTTTTGTACTCTGATTGGTCAAAATGTGACAGGTGAGTTCATGCGGAAAATTTATGCAGCGTCTTGTAAGTTGTTTACTTTGACAGCAAAAGCTGACAGAGTTTTGTGTCAACTTGTGATGTTTTTAACTGTCTAAATCTTTTTCCAATGGATGTACAAAATGAAATACAGCTGCTATCAAGAGTCTTCTGTTATCCATGCTGTCCATGGCTGGTTTGTTTATTGGGCTTTTGGTTGAGAAATGCGTCGCTTGTCAAAATTGAGTAATCCGATTTCGGATGGCATCGTTTTCGTCTTTCACCTTGCTCAATGCGTAAGAGGGTTTAAAAGTCTCAAGCCTTGACTATGGCCTTCCTTGATATCTTTCAGGAACTGAATCTTGAATGGTAAGCCTGAGTAATTATTGTATTTGATGCTTGCTTTTGTTATATCTAATTTCATGAAGTCGAGCACAGTTTATGCGGCAAGTTTTTGCACGTTTGTTGAGATGTGAGTCAATGATCTGATCTAGTATCAGGTTTGATATAAGCTTACAGAACTTTAAATGGCCTTCAGATATATTTTCTCACGGCAAATAGAAAAAAAAAAACGTTCCGAAGAATATTTAGTTATAAATTTGGCTGAAGAAAGAAAACTTTGAGTGATTTTCTTGTTTCGAGGAGTTCATCTTTGAAAAAAAAAAAACAAACACCGGGAGGCCAGTTGAAAGTAAAACAAAATAAACTTAAGCTTAAGCTTTAAGCTTAAACACTCAGGATTTTTAGAAACACTTTAATACTTGTCTTCGTGAATGAAAATTGTTGTCTCTGTAAATGTTTTACCGAATTATATTTCTCTTATTGATTGTTAGTAGTCTCTCTTGCAATTTTAATCGCTTGTCTGTGGTGTTTGTTTTCATCGTTCATGAACATCGCTTGCAGGAGTACTTAGAAATGTCGCGCGTATCAAACGCTTTATAAGATTACACATCGTTATAACTGGAACCATTAAATAACAAAAAATAATGATAATAAATTCGTTATTATGTTGAAGCGTATCTCCATTAAAGTTCATTCAAACACTTGACCACACTAACAGCTCGCACTAAAAATGAGAACCGGCTGGCCGTATGAGTGATTTTGGAAATTTTTTGAACGGTTTCGCTAAAAGCCCACGATTGATCGTCCTGAACATTGAAAAATTGTGAAATGCCGTATTCTGTCCGAGGTCTGTATGATAAAAAGTACTATTTCACCTCAGATGTGGTGTATAAAAAGTATAAAAAGTTGGTTTACACACCCTCAGATTTGTTGGCAAGAATTTGTAAAGAAAACCTGTCGAATGCAAAAAAATGCGGCCTCATTTGTTTTCCAAGAATTTGTTTTCGAGGCCTAATCTACTGTGATCAAGAGCCATTATGGCTCTTGAATGTGATAGAAGATGTTTGCTATTTTTTGGGTGTACATATATTTTATCAACTCGATGTAAGATGTTTCACTCTAAAATAACTTATCCTTTCCGTCAAAAGTCACATGAATGTGCCCTTAAGTTAACTGATTTGTGGATTACAAGTTTATTGTTTGATTTAAAATATAAATTTATTAATGGGAGCTTCGCTTTTAGCCCTGGCTAAATCTATATATTATTAGCAAAACAACTTCTTTGCACGTGCATCAGGGTTTTATGTACATTTCTCAGCCGTCGTTTGCTTAGTTGTTCCATGAAACTTCCTAACTTCACGCGCCCGCTTTATCGATAACCATCTCCTTCTTGTATGCTAGAGTCAACTCCCTTTATAGCGGACGCTACAGGGACCTCGAGTTAGTGTCAAAATTAGCGAGAGTCCGTAATAGCGAGAGTTTATTCAAGTCAAATGTCTGTAATTTGTTTTTGCCGGGGATTTAGCTGCTGTCCATTTAAGCGGGGTGTCCGCAAGGCGAGAGATGGCTGTACTTAGAATTGACCGACCTAGCTGGATAGTTTAGATTAAAAGTGAAATTCAAATGACGACGGTAATGGTGTAGCCGCTCAGTTCTGACAAATAAAAAACACCCTAACTCTAGCAGGAAAGGTTTCCAAGGCCCCAGCAGCACTCTCGGACGGAGTATTCCCCGTGCTTGCAATGCTTTTTTACGATTTCAGAGCAAGTAGAAGAAAAGCTCCATGTAATCAAACAAACATACTTTTGCTGAACTGTTGACTGACTTCTTGACAAAAGTGAAGTTTATTCCAAGGTCTTCACGGTACTGCAGTCGGTACTTGACCACCCACGCATCACCTGCATTCTTTCCTTGCGTCGCTACCCTAGTGACTCTGGTGGAACCACCAAGATCCACCTGAATCCATTGGCCAAAGTCATTGTAAAGAGCAGACCATCCTCCTTGCTTGAGGCCATCTTCTTTTAACTGTAATCTTGCCAGTGCTGCCCTATTGTTGTCATCCAGCTGTGAAGACGCGGTGATATGAGCATCTGGGATTTCATCATTTTCTATGCCAAGGGCACTGACGCATCCTAGGATGATTTAAAAATGCCAAGAACTGAGGACTTCGAAAACTTATATATCTGAATATAATTCGAAGAGCAATTTCAGTGAACTTGGTCGGATTTTTAAAGTTTCAATTTTGGTGAAGTTTGGATTTTAAACCGCAGTTGCCCTTCCCATAGGCTGGTATAAAACAAACTGCCTTCAAAAAACTTACTTTTGTGATTTTGTAGCATACGGAGTAAGCATTATTCAAAGTAACTCCCTTAAAGCAGTCATTATACTCCCTCGTCCCTCTTCCTGCTTTTTCCTCACAATCCCATCAAGAATGACGTTTCATTAAACGGTAGGTAAAAAATTGAATATGCAATTGACAAAAGACGTGGAAAAAGTAAAGAGTTTAATCGATTTTTTTAGAACTCTCTAAAGCGTAATCGTCTCCCTAAGACTGCATTCCCGGCCCTACCCCTTTTTTCTTGGTGTTTTTCCGTTAAGACCTTTTTCGTTCGCAAACTATTGAGCATCGCTTTGTTATTTCCCCAATTTCTCCCAATCCTTGTCCATTTAGAAGTACCACCTCCAGCCCCTTCCAGTCCCGCCTCCGACTACCCCTCGCTACCCCTATTTTCCTGGGTTCTCAACCTTATGTCGTCCCCCACATCGAGGTTCCAATCGTCCCTAAACAGCAACAAAAACACTGTAGAGAAAAATAATAATGTGCCACTATGGAAACGAGAGCCCCGTGTTTGTCAGCACTATTCTATAAAGCCTATCCATGTGACTTCAGGGTAACCATGTTAATGCCCCCAAACAACAAAACGGCGAACACAGGACAACAGAGGAAAAGAGAACAACAGGGACAACAGGGAAAACAAGGAAAACAAGGACAAGGGACAAGAGTGACAACGGGGACGACAAGAAGAACAAGGAAAACAAGGAAAGCAGGAAAAACAAGGACAACAGGCACAATAGGGACAACAAGGACAACAGGGGCAGACAGGGCAATAGGAACAACAAAGGCAACAGCCAAAAGGGAGACAAAAGGGACAAGACAGACAACAGCGGTAACAGGAGCAACAAGGACAATAAGGACAACGGGCACAAAAAAGGCAAACGGGAACACAGACAACACTGGCGACAACAACAACAGCAAAAACAGCGATAAGAGCGAAAAAGCGAAAACAGTGACAAGCGTGACAACAGAGAAAGCAGTAAAAAAAGCGACAACAACAACAACAGTGATAACAGAGCCAACAGTGACGGCAGTGACAAGAGAGAAAAAAGTGTGAACAGTTCCAAAAGTGAAAACAGCGACAACAGCAACAACAGTGGCAACAATAAGAACAGCGACAGCGGCGACAACGATGACAACTGTGATAATGGTGGCAACAGCAACAACAGTGAAAACAGCAGCAACGGTGCCAACAGCGACAACAGTTACAACAGTGACAACAGCGACAACAGTGACAACAGTGACAAAAGTGAGAACGGTGACAACAGTGAAAACAGTGACAATGGTTACAACAGTGAAAACGGTGACAACAGTAAGAACAGTGAAAATAGTAAGAACAGTGACAACAGTGACAACGGTGACAACAGCGACAACAGTGACAACAGTGACAACAGTGACAACGGTGTCAACAGTAAAAACTGCGGCAATGGTGACAAGAGTGACAATACCGACAACAGAGAGAACAGTGACAACGATGACAACAATGACAATGGTGAGAATAGTGACAACAGCGACAACAGTGAGAAACATGACAACGGTGACAACAGCGACAACAGTGACAACGGTGACAACAGTGAAAACGTTGACAACAGTGACAACGGTGACAACGTTATTCAAGACGGCAGTGCCTTATTCAAGAGTCCTGGTAGGGGTATTTTACAGACCTCCTTCGAGCGACATCGACTACTTGAAAGAGTTGGAAAGATCTTTATCGCTTATCGAACGTACTGGTAATAATCTAAGTATTCTTTTATTGGGTGACTTCAATCTTCCCCAAATTGTCTGGTCCACCCCATCACCTACGTGTCCTGACAGTTTGTCGTCTACTTTCTGCGCTATCATTGCGGATTACTTTCTTCACCAGTTGGTACTTCAACCTACCCGCGAACAAAATATTCTCGACTTGGTTTTCATCACAGCCCCGGAGCTGGTAAAGGATCTGGAAATTTGTCAACCTGTTGGGGGATCTGATCATTGTTCCATTGAATTCAAACTAAAATTAAAGTTTCAGAGACCAATACGTAGTTGTAGGCTTGTTTACAACTATCGCGCCGCAGATTGGCTGGGTCTACGTGAAGATTTTTGTAATTTGCAATGGGACTGTTCATATCTTATGGAGACTGTGGATGATGTCTGGGATGCTTGGAAAATATTATTTTTCCAAGCTGTCGAACGTAATATTCCATCAAAACAACTTAAACCTCAGCGCAACGCACCGTGGTTAAACGCTGAACTACGGAAATTAATTCGCAAGAAGCGTAGATTATGGAAACAAGCTAAATCCTCTGGGGACCCCGCTAAATGGGTTAAATACAAAAGGCTAAGTAACAGCGTGAAAGACCAATTAAACAAGGCCTACTGGAACTACGTCAACGATTTAACAGCTTCATTAAAGACCAACCCCAAAAAATTCTGGTCTTTTGTCAAAGCACGCACAGGCAATCGTAGCGTGGCAAGCTGCATTGAGTACGAGGGAAAAAGAGCATATTCACCACTCGATAAAGCTAACCTTTTCAACAGTTTCTTCCAGTCTGTTTTCATCAAGGACTCAGAAGCAAGTGATTTCCAGAATCCTAGTCAGCTGACCGAACATGTTATCGGTGACTTATCTTGTAGCGTAGAAGAAGTGGCGAAACTACTTCAATCAATCGATGTCAACAAAGCATCTGGCCCTGACAATATTCCTCCAAGAATACTCAAGGAATGTGCTATGGAATTGGCCCTACCACTGACAAACTTTTTTAACTTCACTTTGTCTCGGGGGAATATCCCAACTGATTGGAAAGTTGCAAATGTTGTGCCTATATTCAAATCTGGCAAAAATAACTTGGCAGATAACTACCGTCCAATTTCATTGACTAGCGTCGTTGTGAAAACGTTAGAGCGCTTGATCCACAAGCACATTATGAAGTATCTGACTGACTTCCAACTGCTTAACGACAATCAGCATGGATTTAGACCGTCAAGATCTTGTGTTACCCAGCTACTGCAATTAGTGCATGAGTGGTTTCAGGCCTTGGATAAACTTGGATCAGTCGATGCAGTGTTTTTGGACTTTGCCAAGGCTTTCGATAAAGTCTCCCATGCCCATCTCCTCTACAAGTTGGAATGCTATGGTATCAAAGGCCAGATTTTAAATTGGTTAAGGGATTTTCTCACGTCAAGGAAACAGCGTGTAGTGATTGAGGGTCAAGCATCTGACTGGTTAAGTGTTACATCTGGTGTGCCCCAAGGAAGTATACTTGGGCCTTTGCTGTTCCTTGCATACATCAACGATCTTCCTTACTCAGTAACCTGCAACTCAGATTTGTTTGCTGACGATACTGTCCTTCATCGACACATAGAAAATAGATCGGATTGCGATCTACTTCAAGAGGATTTGACATCTGCCTCTGAATGGTGCAAGAGTTGGCTTGTTACTCTTAAGACCGAGAAGTGCGAAGTCCTACACATTACACGGAAGAATGATCCAATAAGATGTCAATATTCGTTGAATAACATCTTACTACCGGAAGTGGACCACCACAAACACCTGGGAGTTTGGTTGGAGTCGTCTTTATCATGGGATTATCACATTAACTCAATTTGTGCTAAAGCTAACAAGGTGTTGGGCTTGATTAAAAGGACATTTGGTTATTCAAACAAGACTGGTATCAAGACAGCTTTTAAGGCGCTAGTGATACCTATCCTCGAGTACGCCTGCCCAGTCTGGAATCCTTATCTGGTGAAACACACCAAGGCAATCGAAGCAATTCAGAGAAGAGCGTCCCGACTAATATGTGGCCCCGACAAAGAATATCCTGAAAGACTTTTAGAGTTAAAATGGGACTCTTTAGAACTGAGACGGAAATATCTTAGCCTAGTTCAAACGTATAAGATTATATTTGGTTACTGTGATATCAATTGCCATCATTACTTTGATATTATTGGAATAACTCGAACTAGAAGTAAGCATGAGTATAAAATAAGGCCTAAAGTTGCCCGTACAAATTATTTTAAATATTCATTTTTTCATAGATATATTAATGATTGGAACTCTTTGCCTTCTGAAGTAATGTCATCTCCTAGCCTTCAGTCTTTTAAAGTTTCACTGATTAAGTACCTTCGCTCATAATTTACCTTAAAATATTAGGCATAGTGTCTTTAATATAAGTTTATGCATCATTATTATTAGGCATCTAGGTTTATAATTTATAGTCTAATTTATAGTTTTTTAATATATGTTTATATATTAATTAATTATTATTTTTTTCTTTTTCTGTTTTGGAAGGTATGTCTTAGAATGGGAATTTGGTTTCCCCCTACTACCGTCCTGTTAACCATTTTTGTATTTTTGTTCGATTGTATATGTTAGTATTAGTTCATTTGTATCAGTTATGTATGGTTACGAACTGTGATTAAAGATTAAAGAACGTTGACAACAGTGACAACAGCGACAACAGCGACAACAGTAACAACAGCGACAACGGTGACAAAGGGTGACAACAGTAAGAAAAGCGACAACAGTGAAAACAGTGACAACGGTGACAACAGTGATAACGGTGACAACGCTGACAACAGTGACAACGATCACAACAGTGACAACGGTGACAACAATGACAACAATGACAACAGTGACAACGGTGACAACGGTGAAAACAGTGACAACATTGACAACGGTGTTAACAGTAACAATAGTGACAACGGTGACAACAGTGACAACAGTGACAACAGCGACAAAACTGACAACGGTGACAACAGTGACAACAGGTGACAACGGTGAAAACAGTGACAACAGTGACAACGGTGACAACAGTGACAACAGTAGCCTGTGTAGCTGGCGGTATTTTGTGGGTGCGAGATTAAAGTTTTGGCGGCGGAGCCGTGTTCCAAAAAAAAGGAGTAGGGACGAGGCGGTTGAAATACCGCCTGCCAGAAAACCCCGGTATTTTGAATGGTCCGCACACCAGTGTGCGGGGAAACGGATTGGTCGAGGGCCATACATATGTCAATCATGTTAGATGAGCCTTCGCTTATATTTCCCAATTTAGGGAGCAGATGGCAAACTGGAGAAGACGTACATGTAAAGTGATTGTGATTTCCGCTTTAGAAAGAGCATAATTGATGACCAAATTGCCGAAATGGCGTTTTGAAACTTCAAAGCGCTGGAATTGTCTTAATTTAGCCGTAAGAAACAAAGGTCAAAGAAAATTAAAACACTTTACAACTGCATCTGAGAACTCTTTCGAGAACGGTGACAAAGGTGACAACGGTAACAACAGTGACAATGGTTAAAACAGCGACAACACTGAAAACGGTGACAACAGTGACAACAGTGACAACATTGACAAAGGCGACACCAGCGACAACGGTGACGACAGTGAGAATGCTTACAACAGGTGACAACAGTGACAACGGTGACAATAGTGACAACAGTGACAACATTGACAATGGTGACAACAGTAACAACAGTGAGAAGGGTGACAAAAGTGACAATAGTGACAACGGTGAAAACGGTGTCAACAGTGACGACAGTAACAACGATGACAACAGTGACAACAATGACAACAGTGACATTGGTGACAACAGCGACAATAGTGTCAACGGTGACAACGGTGACAACATCGACGACAGTGACAACAGTGACAATGCTGACAACAGTGACAACGGTGACAACAGTTAGAACAGTGACAACGGTGACAACAGTGACAACATTGACAAAGGCGACAACATAACAACCGTGACGACAGCGAGAATGCTGACAACAGGTGACAACAGAGAGAACGGTGACAACAGTGGCAATGGTGACAACAGCGACAACACTGAAAACGGTGACAACAGCGACGACAGTGACAACGGTGACAACAGTGACAACAGTGACAATGGTGACAACAGTGACAACGGTGACAAAGGTGACAACAGTGACAACGGTGACAAAGGTGACAACGGTAACAACAGCGACAATGGTTAAAACAGCGACAACACTGAAAACGGTTACAAGTTGTTACAGTGACAACAGTGACACTGATGACAACGGTAAAAACGGTGACAACAGTGACAACGGTGAGAACAGTGACAACGGTGAAAACGGTGTCAAAGGTGAACACAGTAACGACGATAACAACAGTGACAACGGTGACAAAAATGAGAACAGTGACATTGGTGACAACAGCGACAATAGTGACAACGGTGACAACAATGACAACGGTGACAACATCGACAACGGTGACAACAGTGAGAAAAGTGACAACGGTGACAACAGTGACAACGGTGACAACGGTGACAACATTGACAAAGGCGACAACAGCGACAATGGTGACGACAGTGACAATGCTGAGAACAGGTGACAACAGTGAGAACGGTGACAACAGTGACAACAGTGACAAGGGTGACAACAGCGACAACACTGAAAACGGTGACGACAGTGACAACGGTGACAACAGTGACAACACCAGTGACAACGATGACAACGGTGAAAACGGTGACAACGGTGAGAACAGTGACAACGGTGACAACGGTGAAAACAGTGAACAGTGACAACGGTGACAAAAGCAACAACACTGACAACGGTTACAACAGTGCCAAGGGTGACAACCGCGACAATGGTGAAAACGGTGACGACAGTGACAACGGTGACAATGGTGACAGCAACAGCGGTGACAACAGTGACAACGGTGACAACGGTGAGAACATTAACAACAGTGAAAACGGTTATAATAGCGACAACAGTGACAACGGTGACAACAGTGACAACGGTGGAAAAAGTGACAACAGTGACAAAGGCGACAACGGCGACAACGGTGACTACACTGACAACGGTGACAACAGTGACAACAGGTGACAACAGTGACAACGGTGACAACAGTGACAACAGAGACAATGCTGACAACAGTGGCAACGGTGAGAACATGCAGCCACAATACTGAAAACGGTGAAAACAGTGACAACGGTAAAAACAGTGACAACACTCTGTGACAACGATGACAACGGTGAAAACGGTGACAACAGTGACAACGGTGACAACAGTGACAACAGTGACAACAGCGACAATGATGACAACAGTGACAACGGTGACAACAATGACAACAGTGACAATAGTGACAACAGCGACAGCAGCGAGACCAGTGACAACGGTGACAACACTGATAACAGTGTCAACGGTGACAATGGTGACAACAGTGACAACAGCAATAACGGTGACAACAGTGACAACGGTGACAACAGTGACAACGGTGACTACAGCGACAACAGCGACAACAGTGACAACAGTAACTACAGTGATAACAGTGACAACGGTGACAGCGGTGACAACAGTGACAACAGGAACAACGGTGACAACAGTGACAATTGTGACAACGGTGACAACAGTGACAACGGTGACAACGGTGGAAACAGTGACAACGGCTACAACAGCGACAATACTGACAATAGTGACAACGATGACAACAGTGACAACAGTGAAAACGGTTACAGCAGCGACAACACTGACAACGGTGACGACAGTGACAACGGTGACAACAGTGACAACAGTGACAACAGTGACAACAGTGACAACGGTGACAACAGTGACAACATTGACAAAGGCGACAACAGCGACAACGGTGACAACAGTGACAACGGTGACAACGGTAAGAACATTGACAACAGTGAAAACGGTTATAACAGCGACAACAGTGAGAAGTGACAACGGTGACAACAGTGACAATGGTGAAAACAGTGACAACAGTGACAAAGGCGGCAACGGTGACTACACTGACAACGGCGACAACAGTAACAACAGGTGACAACAGTGACAACAGAGACAATGTTGACAACAGTGACTATAGTGAAAACGGTGACAACGGTGACAACAGTGACAACGGTGAGAACAGCCACCACAATGAAAACGGTGACAACAGTGACACCGGTAAAAAGAGTGACAACAGTGACAACGATCACAACGGTGAAAACGGTGACAACAGTGACAACAGTGACAACTATGAGAACAGTGACAACGGTGTTGCCATGTGTTAGAAAACTCTTTACTGGGTTAATCATGTATCTACCCTCTCAAAATAAAGAACATTGTATTGTATTGGTGTATTGTATTGGTGACAACGGTGACAACAGTGACATCAGTGACAATAGTGAGAACAGGGACAATAGCGACAACAATGACAACAGCATGAGAAGACACACAGGGCTTGCACTGTAAGTATCCCGGAGAGCTCCATACAATTCCTTATAATTTTGTTATAAGGAATTGTATGGAGCTTTCGAGGAGACTTTTCTTAATTAGCTTAGGCGCGGCGGATTTTGTCACGTATGATCAGCGCGAGGTGTTTTTTCCGACACCCTTCTGTCAGGAAAATGTCATCATATGAAAGCAAAACAGACACGATCGCGTCGGCAGACCGAAGCCGGCAAAAATAAAAGGCTTTTCTTCTTCCATTTCAGAGGCCAGTTTTGTTTCGATCTGGTCAAAAATCAGGTTTTTAGGTTGTAGGTAATAAAATATTGTCTTATTCTGTTCTCAGGACCTTTAGAAAACGAGACAAACGAGATAATTGACTAGAGAAAGAAGCGTGAAAACGCTTTTTTGGAAGAAAATATTTTTTAATTCCCGCAGCGATTTTGCGAAATCGCGAAGCGCAATATATTCAGTTTCTACCAAAGCCGTCTTGATTAAGCAGTGTAATGCCATCACAACTAAAAATGAATTTAGTTTGTATCGCAAAAGCCGCGAAAATAGAGCTGAAAAAAAAATGGATCGGAAAAATTAATAAACCAAGAAACCGTCTCGCGGGAGCTTTGTGAAACAAATAGTTGGTACGGGTTTATTTAACCTAACCTGGAAAAGGAGACGTCTGCACGTAGAATACATTTCATCCTACATGTAGTTGTGATTTCCAGAACGGACCTCGGGAGCCTCATTGCCGTAATATCTTCTACATTACAGAAACCACAGCAGAATCGCCCTGCTCGCGTGCTAACTTTTCGCTCCAATTATCACTATACAGTACCAGTGAATTGTTTTAAAATTTAAAGCGGCCGAAACTTATTTCCATCAGCTCGTAGTTAGTTAGTTAAGCAATAATAATGCACAGAACTGTAAATAACACAGTTCTAGAATATTTGACGGCTTCGCGTTTTGTTCGTCGCTGCATGCGATTTAATCGCTTATAACCTAACAGAAAATGTAAATGTACCTGAAGGAAATACCGTGTATTACCTTACCTTAACGCTGTGATGTGTGTAAATTTGTCTTTTGCTATGGTTTTAGACAATACGACTTCTCCTGACTATCAATTGTGCGTCAAAACAAGCGCGATAATGAAATAGTCGAAGTGCCATGGTGTGGCACTTTATGACAAAGTTTTAACTGGAAAACTTGTTACCATCTGATGTACACCTGTATAGTCTATGTTTGTAAGCTCTGCCTAAAGAATCATTGGGTTACACTGCACCCATGGGTGTGCCACCTAAAGTGCAGCCTATGTTTGTTAGCTCTACCTAAAGAATCACTTGGTTACACTGCACCCATGGGTGTGCCACCTAAAGTGCAGCCTATGTTTGTTAGCTCTACCTAAAGAATCACTGGGTTACACTGCACCCATGGGTGTGCCACCTAAGGTGCAGCCTATGTTTGTTAGCTCCGCCTAAAGAATTACAGGGTTACACTGCACCCCTGGGTGTGCCACCTAAGGTGCAGCCTATGTTTGTTAGCTATACCTAAAGAATCACTTGGTTACACTGCACCCATGGGTGTGCCACCTAAAGTGCAGCCTATGTTTGTTAGCTCTGCCTAAAGAATAACTTGGTTACACTGCACCCATGGGTGTGCCACCTAAAGTGCAGCCTATGTTTGTTAGCTCTGCCTAAAGAATCACTGGGTTACACTGCACCCATGGGTGTGCCACCTAAAGTGCAGCCTATGTTTGTTAGCTCTACCTAAAGAATCACTTGGTTACACTGCACCCATGGGTGTGCCACTTAAAGTGCAGCCTATGTTTGTTAGCTCTACCTAAAGAATCACTGGCTTACACTGTACTCACGGACGTTTGCCTCGCGCTCTCTTTAAAGACAAAAATGCTATAGTCTGTTTGGTCAAAAATCAAGCTTTGTTTCCCCTAAAAATTTGACACCATATTAGGACCCCGAAAGACGTTAAAAGTTCCTCCATAATAGAAGAGTGTTTTGCTAGAGTTAACAAACGTTTGGCTTACATGAGTTTCAATAAAAAGGTGCAAAAACTTATCAGCATAATTATAGAACACAAACATTGTCATCAATTTCATGGCATGTAGCCTGAATAAGCCAAGCAAATATGAATAAAGCATATAACCAGAAATATTCGTCAAATGGTCTTGTTAAGTAAATTATACTTCATTTTGCGAAAGAAATTTATCGCTTGTATCCGTGTTACGCATCGAAAAAGCGAGGGGTCATCGCATGACATTAGGTAACAGAGGTGATACTCACGAGTTTCACGAATTCCAATTCCACGATTTTTCGCCGAGTAACAAATTTAAAACTTCAATTCTTACCTTACAGTGGTCGGTTCATTTACCTTACATTTGCCAACACTAATAAACATGAACAAAACGATGAAATCCAGCACTCTTCTTTCAGAAATAGCAAGCCACATGAAGTAAAATCCACCGATATGCGCTGCATTCTCACAACAAATATAAACATTTGTCGTGAAGAAAATACGACGAGGAGGAAAAAATGCCAGATCTTCGCCTCGGCAATGTATTCCAGCTACCAAGCCGGCGTATCTCCAGAAGGTGGACTCGAAGTGAGACAAACCTTGTGATTTTTTTAGGAGCCCTTTGCGCGCAAACTAATTTATTCTGTCGCGAAATGAAGATTAAGAAAATGTATCTGAAATCTAATACACGACAAGAAAATTTTCGCACTTTCGAGGAGAGCGACATATTAAATGGGATTAAGTCGGATTAGCTGCCCGCGGAGAAAACATCCCTGCGTGGGATGGTACTTCCAGTAAAAAGCCTCTGTGTCCTCTCATGGACAACGGTGAAAACAATGACAACAGTGACAACGGTGACAACAGCAACAACAGCGACAACGGTGACAACAGTGATAACAGTGACAACGGTGACAGTGGTGACAACAGTGAGAACGGTGACAACAGTGACAACAGCAACAACGGTGACAACAGTGAGAACTGTGACAACGGTGACAACAGTGACAATGGTGAGAACAGTGACAACGATGACAATGGTGAGAACAGTGACAACGATGACAACGGTGAAAACAGTGACAACAGTTACAACGGTGACAACGGTGACAACAGTGACAACAGTGACAATGGTGAGAATAGTGACAACAGCGACAACAGTGAGAACAGTGACAACGGTGACAACAGTGACAACAGCGACAACAGTGACAACAGTGACAACGGTGATAACAGTTACAACCGTGAGAACGACGACAATAGTGACAACAGTGACACTTGTGACAACAGCAACAACTGTGACAACAGTGACGAGCGACAACAGTGACAACAGCGACAACAGCAACAACAGCGACAGCGCTGAGAACAGCGACAACAGTGACCACAGTGACAACGGTGACAACGGTGACGAGAGTGACACGCTGACAACAGTAAGAACAGCGACAGTGGTGACAACAGTGACAACGGTAACAACAGTGACAATACCGACAACACTGACAACGTTGACAACAATGACAACAATGACAATGGTGAGAATAGTGACAACAGCGACAACAGTGAGAACAGTGACAACGGTGACAACAGTGACAACGGCGACAACAGTGACAACAGCAACAACAGCAACAATGGTGACAACAGAGACAACAGTGACAACAGTGACAACAGTGACAACGGTGATAACAGTGACAACCGTGAGAATGATGACAACAGTGAGAAGAGTGACAACAGGGACAACGGTGACAATAGTGACAACGGTGACAACAGTGACAATAGGTGACAACAGTGACAATGGTGACAACAGCGACAACAGTGAGAATGGTGACAACAGTGAAAACAGTGATAACGATGATAACAGTGACAACAGCGACAACAGTGATAATGGTGACAATGGTGACAACAGCGACAACAGTGACAACAGTGAGAACAGCAACAAGAGCGACAATGGTGACAACAGCAACAACGGTGACAACAGTGATAACAGAGACATCATTGACAACAATGACAACAACGTCAACAGCAACAACAGTGACAATAGTAAACACAGTGACAAAAGTGACAACAGCAACAACAGCGATAACAACAACAACAGTGATAACAGTTCCAACAGCGACAACAGCGGCACCAGAGATAACCGTGGCAACAGCAACATCAGTGACAACTGTGAGAACAGGAACAACAGTGAAAAAACGAAAATAGTGACAATAGTGACAGTAGGGACTACAGAGACAACAGCGTCAGCAACGATTAAAGTTACAACAGTGACAGTAGCGACAACAGTGAGGACAGCGAGAACAGCAAAAATGGTGACAACAGCAACAACTGGAACAACAGTCATGACTACAGCAACAACATGAGCCAACAGCGACAACAGTGACAACAGCAACAATAGTGACAACACTGACAACAGTAACAACAGTAACAATAAAGACAACAGTGACAACAATGATGACAGCGACAATAGTGTCAAGAGCTAGAATAGCGACAGCAGGAACAACAGTGATATCGACCTTTTTTTCCCCCTTAAATTTCGCATTACTTTTGTTTTAAATTTTTCTTAGGTATTATAGTCGTCCCAAAACAAATTGTAGAGCAATGTTTGGAAGCCAAAAAACTTTTAAAGGGCGTTTTTACAGACCTGGCCTGTCTCTATGGATATTTATTGAAAAAAGGGTTTACAGAAAAGTTCAGCACGCAAAAGACCTGCATGGAAAACAAAATGGCCGCCGTCTGATTGTTTTGGAATACAAACATGACCATCCTGACGACACCGCTCCTCTTTAACATACTCAAATTACCTGGACAACCATACAGCTCTATCCTCATAGATATACGACTGTTCCAAGCTATAGGCAATACACGAACAAACATCGTAGTGACTGGTGGACTGAGTGCATTATACACAACAGTATCACTGTCATCGTTTCCAGTAAAAACCTGTAATAAGCAATGAAACAGTGAAACCTTAAACCCTAACCCTAAGAGCAAATAAGCGGCCAACAAGTCTCTCACTTCAATGCTTGGTTAAATATGTTTGGCCTAGTCCTGAAAAAACTGTTCACAATTTAGTCATTGTTTGCCAGCTATGTTGCCATAGAAAACGGGTTATGACTTCACACAGGGTCTAAACAAAACATATTGGACGATCGAGGTAGCTTAGCTTGTTGTAATGAGAACTGATTTAAAAACATCTGGTTGCCTTTAAAGTATTTTACATAATACGTGTGTGAAGATACCTTAGCTGACTTGTCTCCATGTTCGTTGTAAAACTGGAAGTTCATTCCATCATCACTGTACTGTAACTTGTAATTGGTCACCCACTCATTGGACCCAGTCCTCCCCTGAGTCGCTACACGTGTTAATGTGGTGTAACCTCCAAGATCCACTTGTAGCCACTGGTGGAGATCGTTTTTAAGGGCACTCCACCCACCCCCTCCAGGTAGGTTTTGATCTTCTTTGAGGTGTAGCCTGGCCTTGCTTGGAGAGCTATTCTCATCAGACAAAGACGATGCACTGATCTGGGCATCTGATATTTGTTTATTTTCCATACCAAGTGGTGCTATACAACCTGTATGGTGCAATAATACAGTTTATAATAAAACTTCATCTTTTGGGCCGGTGTGTTTGAAGGGATCAAATCTGATATAGCCCAAAAGAATATAAAGTCATAGCTCAAGCAAAACTCTCCATAAGTGCGTTACGTAAAACACTTTTAATGAATGTGACCACGTGAAACTAAAACACATCAAGTCGTATTTTGAACGGTCATACCAAAAATCCATATGTTGTTTCTTTGTTCTGTCTGGAAGTGGAAAATTTAACGAAAAATGTATTAAAAAGTTCAATTTGTGATCCAATCCGTTCTTTATCCATTTATCCATTTGGACATAAACAATCATAGAGAAACTATTAGCTGCAGTTACACAAGACAACTTAACCATAATAATAGGGAGCTTAAGCGACGACGACGGCGTGGGCAGCCAGAACAGCGAAAAAGCAATAGGTTTAATATAAGCAAAACAGCAACTTTGCAAATCCATCACGCTTTTTTCTACATTTCTTTGCCGTCGGCACAACTACGAAGTGGAATTGCCTAATTTCATATTTTTGTGGAGGACGTTAAGGCAAGATGACGAATTTTTTTCTTTCTCTGAACTTGCATACAGTTGTTTTAGAACTGATTTAACCCCAGAAAATTTGCCAACATTTGATAACTTGAACGTGATGGAATGTTAGCGCGGTGCGGTTTGAAACAGTTAGTGCGAAATCACTTTATATTAGTGACGTTTTAGCAGCCGTCGCCGTCGTGGTTACTCCTAGGGCAAACGTAAGGCTAACTTTAATGCTAGGTAGATTACAAAGGATTATTTCTTTTCCGCGGGTAAACCAGCAAATAAGCGCTCCATAGGGTGCTAACCACGGTTATTTTCAACATGCCAATTCAAATTAATCACTACCGCTCACACAGCATTGTAGCTTACATACAACTCTGAGAAAATTATTTGGAAGTGTATCACACCTGGGCAGCCGTAGATCTCTACTCTCATTGATATGTGATTATGCCACTCTATTGGTATAAAACGAAGGTAGCGTGCTCTGATCGGCTGGCTTAATCTGTTTGTAGAAACGCTGTTACTGTCTTTATTGCCTTCAAACACCTAAAAGGGGAAAACAAGCCTACTAGTTTTCACTTTCTCATTTCAAGTAAATCCCGGCTAATCGTGACAAACTGAATGAACCACAGTCACTCCAACTGTTTTCGGCGACGAGTTGGAATTGGACACCACCGCTATTTTTTCATAAGATCATCGAGATCGAGCGCCCTGCGTTACGGGCGGCCATCTTGGCTTCAAATGTTTCGCCTGGAGATGAATGTCAAATCTACTTAGGAGGCGGAGGACGGTTTGGGAGGAGGCCTCCCTCCCCACCGCTACAAACCCCGACCCTGCCTCCCCCTCAGTAAATATGAAACCAAGATGGCCGATCTTACGAAAAAATAGGGTACTGCGAACAGCCTAACTTAGAATTAACAGCAAACCAATCAACCTCCCTCTAGCTCTGATGGATAATGTCATATTCCCTACCGCTTTACGGCTTTCGAGATTACTTATTCCAACCCTAGAGAAAAATATCACGTTAAATGCTTTCCAAGCATTTTAACGTATATTATATGTAACGAACCAACAAATATTACACCCCCACTTCTGGAGTCAATGTTGTTTGCCTCTTTAGATACACATATATACACCTGTAGACTATGTAACGTTCGCCTTCAGTGGCTTTGTCAAAGATTGCAGTTACGGTTAACGACAAAACCCACAAATCGCCACAAATCTAACGAACACGACTGAGCTTTGTGTATACTTACCATTGCTGAGCTGTTTTCCCTCAGCTTATAATACATGAAGATATTTCCTGCACGGCTATATTTCAATCTGTACTGTGTCACCCATTCGTTTCGTCCATTCCCTCCTTGGGTCGCTACACGTGTTACAGTTGTGTAACCACCAAGTTCTATCTGAAGCCACTGATAAAAGTCATCTTTAAGAGCCGACCACCCTCCCCCCGTCCTGGAATCAGCTGTCAGATGCAGCCTTGCTTGCAAAGCGGTGTGTTTGTTGTCAAGTGACGATGAAGCGGTTATCCTGGAATCATGGATCGCTCCATTTTCCATACCAAGCGGTGTCGTACAGCCTAGATTTGTTTTAGAGGCAGAAACATCAAAAAAGCTTAATACCCTCGCTAATTAGGCATGGTTTTGTCCCTTTCTGTAGAAAACCCAAATAAGCAAGATCCAGCCGCTCTCTCAAACTGCCGGGCTACTCAACAAACTTTTATACGCGGAGGCTCCCCAAGCAATGTGTTTGTTATCACGTGATAACGAGGCGGCTATCCATGAATAAGGGATCGTTCTATTTTCTATATCAAGCGGTGTCGTACAACCTAGATTTGTCTGATTTGGTTGGATTACCTCTCCTTGGATACTCTTTTCTACAAAACCCAAGTAACGTAGACCAATCAACCCTTTCAAACTGCAGAGTGAATTATAGCTTATGACTTTCTAATTGTCAAGGAACTGGGACGTTGCAGGTTTTCTTTAAGCCAAGTAAGCAGGGCCGTAGCTAGGTTTTTTCTGTCACGAGGTGGGGGGAATTATCGCGACTGCCGAAGGCATGAACCTTTTAGGGGGGGTCTGTATCCTCCCCTGAGTCTAAAGAGAACAAATCCATCCACAGACTTGATTTGTCTGGGTCAACAGTTCCAGGGGCGGCTGCCCCCCTTCCCCTCCACTAGCTGCGGCTCTGGTAAGCAGATAGTGGACCGGTAGTGATGCAAGATCAATGCCCAAGGAAAGTGACACACTCCAACAACACGCGCACAGCCATGTCTCCTGGTGGCAGCCACAGACAGCTGTTTCGTTCAATCAGAACGCATCAGTATAGCTTTCATGTAAGGACGGCCCCATTCAGAAGAACCCGGATATTTTTTAAACCACATTTTTTTTACACGAATAGGCCTTCCTTTCACACGAAATTAGCAAATCCGCTAACCGGAAACGACATCTGAAACCCCTCCACAATGTATTTTTGTCTTGGATTCGACTGATTTGCAAATTCGTGTAGCCGATTGACACTGCATATTGTCGAATTTCGATCGAATTGCCTAGGTATGAGGTTTCAGCCATCCTCTATTCGTGTGGATAATGCCTGAAGCTTGAATCACTAAAAAGTCGTAGTTCTTCATCGTGATGGAAACGCGGTAGCGTAACTTAAGCGGTTAGGTTGGAATGGAGCGTGTTGCAATCAGCACCGGATTCATTATAAGTAGCAAGTACTGTAGACAGTATTACTGTGCAAGTAAGCGAGCAATGTAAGTTTGAATACCTGTACAACCGTAGATCTCCATCCTCATGGATATGTGTCCACGCCACTCCATCGGTTTGATTCGAATGAAGCGCGTTGTAATGGGTGGATTCAACATGTTGTAAGCAATGGTGTTACGGTCTTTATTTGCGAGGAAAACCTGCAGTGATTCAGTGAAAACAATTTCAGGCACGTAGTTATGCCTTGGATAATACTTTAAAGTCCAAGCAGAATATGCTAGATGTAAGAAAAATTGTCAAAAAGAAGTCTGTTGGTCGTTAGAAAGGTCATACTATCTTCCCACTTTGAAACATAAATTTATCAATATAAAGAAATATTTAACAATTATTCCTCGAGCCCGAATGAGCTATTGACTCAGAGGCCATGAGGGCGAGAGGAATAATTGTTTTAGTAAAATCAACCAGTTGGTCAAAAATATCGAGACAAAAAAAAACTTTTAGCTAGTTAAAGCAAGACTTGAATCCTTTTTGCCGCCAAAAAGCCGGCGCTTTTCGCTACTAGTGGGCTCTAACATTTAGCCTAGTAGTAGCTCAACCAATCAGAACGCAGCATCGATAATAGACCACTAGTTGGATTTTACTAAATAGATTTAGCCAAGGCCAAAAGCGATGCTCTTGTGGGAACTTTTAAGAGAAAGTCGCTCTGAAGTTTTCTGAGCCTGATATCACTTGAATACCATAACTGGTAGGCGGAGAACTTAAAAAGAAACCCTCAACTCAACGAGTTGTACATTTGAGCCAGCGATACAGCCATGTGACACTAGTCAGCGGATACCTTATTTTAATAGCTGTCGACTGATCACGACATGGATGCCCAGTATCAAGTTAAACACAATTTGTATATACCTTGGATTTTTAAGCTAGTAAGACATTCCACATCCGCTAACATGATGGGCCGGACGTACGTACTTACGGACTGACGTACGGACGTACGGACAGATAATTTTGTCAGAACCGGAATTTCTTGGATACATAGATGACTAAATTTTCTTACCTATGGTGCGCCAAAGCAAGCGACAGCTCTGCTATAAGTGGGATAAGATTCAGTCAAGCCAGTTGTAAGGTGCCACTCTCTATGAGGACACCTAAGTGGTCGCTTAATAGAGTTTTTACTTACAGGGATTTACTGACAATTTTGTCCTCAGAGTGACTGCGTAATAGGAGGCAGTTAAATAGAGGTTCGACCGTATTCTTGCGCGCAATAGCAGTGTTTCCAAAAAGCTGAATAATCACATTTTCTCAGAAAATGAAGCGCTTTTATAAGTAAAAATAGCGGGTACTTAGGTCTACTCAAGCGAAATGCACTTATGTTCTGCTTAAGGAGAACGTAAATCCGCATTTTTCTTCTTCAAACTGCTTTCAAAGGAGGGAACAGCTATAAGAGCGACATCTCACGTTTTTGAGTGACGCACGTCAAGCGGAAGCGGACTTTTTGCATTCTTAGAAGGCGGTTTTTGCCTGAAGTCTTGGGCAAATCGTCTGTATAAGCGTCAAGACACTTAACAATGAAAACCTGCTGGCGTCAAGGCATACTGAAAGGGAAAAGGCCTCACTTTCGCTTGACATCCGGCGCTCAAAGACGTTGTTGCTTAAACTCCCTATTTACATACCTTTGGTGAAGTCTGATGTGGCTCTTTATAGAACTGGAAGATCACTCCATCATCACTGTACTGCAATCTGTACTTAGTTACCCATTGATCGTGATCACTTCTCCCTTGTGTTGCGACACGAGTTAATGTAGAGTAACCACCAAGGTTTATCTGAAGCCATTGGTTAAGATCATTTGTGCGAGATGACCAGGCTCCTCTTTTACTTCCCCTTCTTTGATACTGCATGTGCAGCCTGACCCGTGATGCAGCATGATTGTTATCCCACTGCGAGGAAGCACTTATTTGGGCATCAGTTATTGCTCCACTGTCCATGCCGAGAGGGTCAACGCAACCTAAATTTAAAAATATATCAAAAGTTACTACCAGTAGATTTGCAGGCACCCTACCAGCAAAGCTCCTTTTCTATCGCTTGCTTGATTGTGGCGTACTCGAGAAAAACCCGGCATGAATCGAGTAACATCTTTGTTTAGCATGTGCGGCATGTTTCTAAGATAGAGTTTCGAACCCAGACCTACTACCCATGCGCATGCTACAGAGGGCTCGGTTGTAACCATCGGTTTGTCAATAAACGGATGCTTGCACTGGACAAAACCATTTTGACGAGAGAAAACAAAACCGAATAGTCCGGAAGTTGGGGCTGCGGCAACCTCAAAGGCTTGTTGCCATTCTGGCAGAACCTCCTTTTCTCCTTCTAATGAACAGATGAATAAGGTAAGAAAAGACTCTGCTCGTAGGGTGAAAGTTGTTAGAGCAACTCAGTCAGATTAACATTTACTGTAAGTTCTGGTAGTCTTTTATATACGGCCCAGGGCTCAAGCAGATACTGAAATAAAATATTCCATCTTACGTGATGAAAAAGATGAAAGCTTGCTTTTTTTGTTCTAATTAAGTGTTGCAATTTTGCGTAACAGCACCTGGACAACCGTAGACCTCCGTTCTTAAAGACACGTGATTGTGCCACTCAAGAGGCAACAGCCGAATGAACCGAGCTGTGATTGGTGGAATCAGAGTGTGGTATACAACAGTGTCACTGTCTTGATTTCCTTGAAAGGCCTACAAAGCAAACAAAGGTTTTAAGAACGAGATTGTTTTAAAACTATTTCAAATTACACAAGTAGGGAGCTTTTAGCTAGTCTGACGTTTAACGATAACAGTACATTTTAGTTACAGCTGGGTGTCATTGCCAATCGATAACTGACATCTTTCGTATAGAACACAGATGCAATGTTGACAACCGTAGCATCCAAAAAGGTTTTTTGAAGTCAAAATGCCTTACTGTATCTGAAAGGGCATTTTAGAAAATGATACGGTAAGCCACCCAAATCTTACTAGGGCCTCTTTCATGAAAAGAAAGGTTGTCAAGGGAAAGAGGGTCACCCACTTCCAGCCAGGTCAACTTAAGCGAGAGTTTATGTGAGAAAAAAGGTGACCCTTTTGCCGAGTCGAGAGCTAACAATGGCACTTGTTATATTTATGCTCTGATTGTCTGTCCCTCACCGAGGTGGCCCAGATAGACAAGGCAAAAAGTTTAAATGGAAAAACGTTAACTCAGCTAGGACGGTCAACCCAGCTAGGCGGCTCATATTTCTAGCCGGGCCAATGTTTTGTTTGTCATGTAGAAGGTTAGCCAAGTTTGGTAAAGAAATGTAGGAAACCTTGGCTCACCAGTGGTACCCACTCGGGACATGTTTTTCTCCTTCGAAATGGGTTCTAAGTCATATTGATTTACCTTGTAACGATGAAAATTCACACCATCTTCACAGAACTCTAACGTGTACCTGGTCACCCACTCATTAACGCCATTTCTCCCTTGAGTGGCCAGTCGCGTTATTTTAGTGGAGCTACCGAAATCTATTTGAAGCCAAGGATGATGATCATTTTCAAGGGCTGACCAGGCTCCAAATTTGCTTCCCACCGCTTTGGAATACAGCCTGGCTTGCGCAGCAGAATGGGTGTTGTCCAGTTTTGAAGACGCGCTTATCTGGGCATCAGTGATTGTTCCAAGAGCCATTCCAAGTGCTGCTGTACAACCTAAATTGTTAAGAGCGGGAAAAACAAGCTTTTCAACGATATTTCCAGTCACGGCGAAACCTTAGCAACAGGGGCTGTAGTCGAGGAAAGACAATAGAGAGATAGTTGAGATCCAGATTTTGGGAATAACGGTGGTATCAAGATGATTGTTAAAGGGATTGGCGATTGGTCGCCCATTGTCCATTGATCCAAGACAGTCCTGGATTCTGAATTCAACGCTGTGGATCCCAGGCACTGGATCCCGCATTCCTAGACAGTGGAACTTAGATTCTAGATTCTAATCGTTAGCAGGATTCAGGATTCTAAAGCTTAAGGTGGCTGAACACAGTTTTGGCAGTTTGTGAGTAAATGTCATTTGCCAAATCATGGCAAGAGAGAGGTTGCAGCTCACAAGCTGAAACTTGGCAAGTGAAAAATATACTGATGAAAGATTTTGATTGACAGGTAAAATGTGGCGATTGAATACAACCTTAAAATTTCACTTTTGCTCAGTTTACATAAAATTCGTTCATTAGATTTTCGTTTAAACTTGCACACCCCTTACTATAAGTAATCATTACCATTTAAAACTTATTAGACCAAATTTTAACAGACGGGTTTTTAGATAATCAATCATACAATTGTACTGTAATTATTAAATGTGTCACAAAATTCGTCAGTTCAACTTCCATTTTAACGCTCTCATTATTTAAAATACGATAAAAGTGAAAATTCTGCCAAATATCCTCCGTGTACCATTGCTTTTTTGCCGCCATGTTTGTTTGTCTAATTTAAAACAGGCGCCGTCACACGAGTTACCGCCGCAAAACTGTGTTCAGTCACCTTAAGATATCGGATTCCACGAGGGAAATTTCAAGGATTCCGAACTTCAGATTACTAAATACATGAGGCGAGATTGGGACGATAGTCGCAATGTTTCAGGTACTGACATGATGAAAGTGGTAGAGGCAATAGTAAAGCCAAAAGAGAAAATACATTATTTATTTATTTATATGAAATCGTTCCTCAGTACCAGGGCAGCCATAGATCTCTATTCTCATTGATATGCGACTATGCCACCCCACTGGAATCAGCCGAATGAAGCGAGTCGTGACTGGTGGACTCAGTGGGTTGTAAACAACTGTGCTGTTATCCTGATTCCCTGGAAAAACCTGAATATAGGAAAAATACCAGAAAGCTATACGTCAACAAAAGGGATCAATTTAGGTTTCTGGGAAACTGCTATCTACCCCTCCCTTAAGATAAGGTAACACTTATCTCTTAATTAGGGCAAAATGATGGCTTAGAGGAGGGGTATGTGGGCAGTTCCCCGGAAACCTAAATTGATCTAACAAAAGTTAGAACTTACAGATTGATTTGCGAGCTGTTCGTGCTTTCATAGCAATGATGATCTCATGTCCTGCGATCTTGGACAGAGAAACTTACAGAGTTGGGGCCAGTCAATTACTTTTTCAGTTGCTTTCAATACGGCTCCCGCGGTACCTCCAAGCTTTCGTTAAAAAAAAAAAAACGCGCGCTTGGCAGGCTAGACAGCCATACCTTCGCAGAGTCAATAGTGATCACTTTGAAAGAGTGAAAGGTGTCTCCATCATCACTGTACTGTAACCTGTATTTGGTCACCCACTGATCATACCCATCCCTTCCTTGAGTTGCCACACGTGTTACTCTGGTAAAAGTACCAAGATCCACCTGAAGCCATTGGTTGAGATCATTCTTGAGAGCTACCCAGCCACCTCTTTGGTTCCCATCTGACTTGGAATGCAATCGGGCCTCTCTTGCAGAATGGGTGTTGTCCATTTGTGACGAGGCTGTTACTTGGGCATGGGAAATGGCTTGATTTTCCATTCCAAGTGATTTTACACAACCTGAATAAATACGTGAATATCTCTAATACCGCGTTAAAAACATCCTAGAAATCTTTGGCTAAAGTGAAGCGAATTTCCTTACTTAATTTTCGAACACTTCTTTCACAAAAACAAATAGAAGCGCCATCTCGTGCAAACTAGGTGAGGATCATTAAAGCGCCAGAATCAAAGAGAAGAGAATTTGTTTTCAAACTAGACTGTACCGATATTCCACCAAAATTTGCCTTAAGTTGATTGGTGTCGTAATACTATGACAAGTCGACAGTAGGGCTAACAGGGAAAAAATCCAGGTAGGCTCTTTGTATAAATATTTAATTATGATTTTTTGTTTTCCGACACATTTCGGATTACCTGGACAGCCATAAATTTCAATCCTCAATGATATCTGACTGTGCCATTCCAACGGCAAAATTCGAATGTAGCGTGCTGTGATTGGTGGTTTTAAAATGTTGTACACAACCGTGTCGCTGTCTTTGTTTCCAACAAAAATCTAAAAAAGTAGTATCAAAGTAATGAGAAACTGTGAAAGGTTTGAACCCAGGAGCAATTTCATAAGTAGGTTGAGTATGATCGTCCCGGTGAACGTAGTCCTGAATAGAACTGCTATTGACATTTACATGTAAATATCATTGATGCATGGCATTTACGATGAATCCTCCCGAACTGCCACAACTGGGGAACCAACCTGTCGTCCTTGCTATCGCTATGTTCAGCACTGGTCCAGCAAAACAACCGTTATTTTTGCGTTGGTCAAGAACAAACACTATGGGCTATGGGCTTGTAAGGCTTGTGTGCGTCGTGCGAAAATCTCACGTGGGTGCCTTAAAAAAATCGATTTTAAGGGAGAAAAACCTGCTGCTTAGCAGTCTTCATTCTCAAAAAGGTAAGTAAGAGGGGTAAAGGGTAAAGGGTTGAAGCTCGGGACGGAGCCTCCTCGTATAAAACTTTGCTGAGTCCTTGCGGGAAAAAAGGCATACCATGACGTTGGTATTGTTTATAAAGTCATGATTTTAGTGTTAGGGTCTACTTCAATGAAACGCTGGAGTTGCCACTGGAAGCAATACGACTGATCATATCAAGTTTTAACCTGAGTAGTGTTCGAGATGTAAACTTTCCGCCCGAGAGCAAAGACTTACCATTGCGGAGGCGTTAGCTGCTTCTTCATACGACCGAAAGACGAATCCATCGTCGCTGTACTGTAACAAGTACTTAGTCACCCATCCACTAAAGGAGTTTCTTCCCTGAGTAGCCACATGTGTTACTCTGGTGTAAGTCCCAAGATCTACCTGAAGCCATTGGTTAGGATCATTTTTGAGAGCTGACCAACCACCGCCTTTGCTGCCACTTATCTTAGCATGTAATCTAGCTTGGTTTGCAGCGTGATCTTCATCCACTTGTGAAGAAGCGCTTATCTGGCCGTCTGAAATAGCATTATTTTCCATTCCAAGTGGGGCGAAGCAAGCTTAAACATAACAAGGAATATGAATATATGAAATCTAAAATACGTTTGGATTGTAATGTGCAGGCTTTTCTTCCTTTATCATTCCGTTCATTCAGTATAAAAGTGGCCAAAATATTGCACGAGCGACTGCATTAAGTAGAAGAAAAATAACAAGAACATGTCGCTTACCATGCCTTCTAGTAAGCAAGTGAAAGAAAAAATAAAGAACACTGAGTCGATAGGTTGGGTAAAGGAAGTCTCAGAAAATACTTCAGAATACCTGCACAACCATAGAGTTCCATTCTGAGGGAAATCCGGTTATTCCACTTGGTCGGCAGGATCCTTAAAAAGCGTGCTGTGATTGGCGGATTCAAGTCTTGGGTCACAACGCTGTCACTGTCCTTGTTACCAGCAAAAACCTAAACGAAGAAAACAAACATTAACAGTGTACTTACGTCGACAGGACTCGGGGAACATGAAATGCTTTCAAGCAGTAGGAGGAAAACCCCTGTTAACAGGAGTTCTTGAGAGGCGCTATTTCAATCGGGTAAAAAGTACGCATGTCAATCAGAATGAAAACAATACATCGTTTAGTTCAATTCATTAAAAAGCTTATGTGTAAGTAGAAAGATTATAAGGACGCAATTCGCCACTTAAAAAACAAGAAAAAAAATAGGCTTAGCAAAGAGTTCTGGAATTGTTATTAAGGACAGGGAAAAAAAAATTGGTCGGTAGCTGAACGGCGAGTCCCCAGTCTCCATCCAAGAAACAATTGAGGGACACATTTCGGCTCCAGTTCCTTACTCTTGCAAAAAAGGCGTGAAAGAGAGCCATTTTTCAGGACAGAGCAGTACCTTAGAGATATTGGTTCCTGGCACTCTGCACGTTTGGAATGTCACGCCATCATCACTATAGTTTAATTTGTAGTTAACTACCCATTCATTGTGGGCGTGTCTACCCTGGGTCGCAATACGTGCTACTGTCGCATAGCTACGGAAATCCACCTGAAGCCATTGGTTGGGATCGCTTGTGTGAGATGACCAGCCTCCATCTTTGTTTTCGTCTGTTTTGAAATGCAACCTGGCTTTCGCTGCAGAATGTTGGCCATCCAGTTGTGAAGATGCGCTTACTTGAGAATCGGTAACTGCTTCGCTTTCCATGCCCAGAGGCGCTTCACAGGCTAATCGTAAGAAAGATCAGTAGAGGAAATTTACATGTATGTTACATGTTGCATCAATGTCAAAACGGTAGTTTGTCATGATACAGCAAAAGCCAACATATTTCAAAAAAAGTTTCATAAACTTTTGGATCACGTCAGGAAGGTCTTACAAGAAATAAATAAATCAAGGCTGACTGCACATGCAGCTGGGATACTAGACTTACCCTCAAGTCGAGCTAAAAAAATTTCTCGAGCGCGAAGCACGAGCGGGAGATGTTTTTGTCTTCTGCGGCACAAGTGAGTTACTACAGGAAGAGGAAATTAGAAGCGTAGGACTTTGAGAAAGTCCACTAGGACACCTTCTGACCTCTTCAGGAAATAGAGACGCCCCTGAGGAATTTTCAAAATAATTCAGGATTAGCTAGACAGCCGGCCTAGCTTTTTGTCTCCACGTATGTTCTGCCTTATCAAAGCGGGTGACTTTAAAAACTTGAACTGAGGTTGATCTCGGCAGTATTCGCTGCAATTTGGGTTTCTTGATTGTATATGACTTGGGATTCCATTATGGTGTGAAGGCCGCGAAATGAACAATCCTAAGGCAGTTTTTTTTTTTTAAAATACCTGAACAGCCGTAGAGTTCCATTCTCATTGATATGTGACCGTACCAAGCCTCCGGAAGTATCCTGACATAACGCGCTGTTTTTGGCTGGCTCAATGTTTGGTAAACAATCGTGTTTCTGTCTTTGTTTCCATCAAACAACTATCCAAAATAATAAACAATTATTTCATACACTGATATATTTTTAATTATTACTGGCTCGTAACCTTTTGAACTATAAATGAATTTTCTTGAATACAGCAGATTAATAATAATAATTAATAACAACAACAGCAAAAACAAGAATCAAGTAACGTAGAGAGGGGCGGATCCAGGGATTTTTGATGGGGGACGGGGGGCGTCCAAACTTTGGTTCAGAAAGGACTTTTGAAATTTTTGTGGCAAATTATTTCTCACAGAGACGAGCACGCGCTTCTCAATCTGCGAACGCCGGTCGCCGGTTGCGCGGGAAATACTGCTTGGCGAGCAGAGGCGAACAGATCATAGGAGGGTACCCAAAACAATTACATTTTTGAATATCCCTGGAATTTAGTTTAGTGGCAAGTACAACGCGCGTTTCACGAAAAAAATCAGCGAGTTAAGAGTAATGTACGATCCTGTTGATGTGAGAATTTCAGCCTCAAACAAGCGTCAGGTCTGATATGGGGGGTCTGGACCCCCTGGACCCTCCCCCTGAATCCTTCCCCTGGATCCACCACTGGTAGAGAAACAATCGCCCCATGTAAAGTGATCCAAGACAGTCTTGGATTCTGGATTCCACGCTGTTGATTGCAGATTCCAGATTCTTTGAGCGTCATTAACAGGATTCCGGATTCCACAAGTATCACCGTATTGCCGGATCACGGATTACGCAAAAATTTGCCGAATTCCGGAATCCGGATTACGTAAAATGAGGCGAGAAGCATATTAACTGGGCGTACCATTGCTGAATCTTGTCCTAGTGCTTTGTAAAAATGGAAGTTCACTCCATCTTCGCTGTACTGTAACCTGTACTTGGTAACCCATTGGTTCCAATCACTTCTGCCCTGAGTTGCTATGCGAGTCACTGTGGTATATTTCCGAAGATCAACTTGAAGCCACTGATAAATGTCATTGGTGATGGCGCACCAAGCCCCCACGCCGTTTCCAGCAGACCGTTTCCCGTTTAATCGAGCTCTACGCGGACCATGATAGTTGTCCCATTGCGAAGAGGCGCTTATCTGGGCATCAGAGATTGCTCCATTTTCCATACCAAGAGGAGCTATACAACCTGTAATACAGTCAATAACGAGGTTGATAAGTAGAAATTAAAATATTGGAACATTATGGTGGAGGACCCTTAACGGTTGGACAATATAGTTACAGATCAAAGAAACAGCGGACAATATAAATACAGAGCAAAAACACGGCGGAGAGTAGCAAGCCACGCTCTGAAGGTCACTCTGACTGAAGGAGACATACTTGGTGCATAAGGTTCTTTGGGAGTTCTGTAGAACATTATGAGTAACGAATGGTTGCCTTTCCTAACTTATCATTGCAGTTTGTAACGACATGTTGCGTTACGACATATTTGTTGACTTTCATGTTGTGCCTCCAAACGATCCCAAGAAACTTTGTGGTCGTATATCGTACCCAGTTTTTTCATTCTTTTAGAACATGGCGAATGATCATGCATGTGGGACGAAACAGTTGAAAAAGCTTTCATAATGTCATCCGTGCATTTGTACTTTGACTAATCCCAGGTAATGACCGACCAAAATGTGTGTTGACTTCAGCATATATGGTTTAATTGATGGTAGCAGTTTAATAACTGTTAACCGGCTTACTTACCTGGACAACCGTAGATCTCCATTCTGAGACATATATGATTGCGCCACTCTATTGGCAATAACCGAACTAGGCGTACCGTGATTGGTGAATTCAACTTGTTATATACAATGGTGTTACTATCTTGGTTTCCATCAAAAATCTAAAAGCAAGAAAAAAAGTTATTAAGAAATCTCGTGACCTGGCCATTTCGAATGTTTTTTGAGTAATTTGTTTACCCACGAAGCGCTTAGGAATTCGTTTAAACGTGTCCGTGAGTTCTATATCGAATTGAAACTTGTAAGTGTTGGATGTTTACGAGAGGGAAAAAACAGAGAAAACGGAGAAAAACCTCTCCAGCAAGGAAAGAACCAACGGAAGAACTTGGATTTCGGATTCCAATCGTTAGCGGACTCCTTGAGCTGGATTCTGGATTCGATAGTCCAGGACTCCGGATTCCACAAGAAAAACATTCAAGGAATTTCGGATTCCAAGGGAAAAATTTCTGGGAGTCCAGAATCCGGATTTCCTTACATGGGGCGAGATGTTCATTTTTAGTATGATTTACGTACCGTTGATGAGCTTTCTCCTCTTCCTTTGTAAAAGTGATAAATGACTCCATCAACACTGTACTGCAACTTGTATTTGGTGACCCACTCATCTGATCCATCCCTTCCTTGTGTTGCCAAACGTGTTACTGTGGTATAACTACTAAGATCCACCTGGAGCCATTGATTAAGATCGTCTTTTAAAGGCGACCAGCCTCCTTGCTTAATTCCGGTCAGTTTCACATTTAACCTGGCCCGACTTGCCGCAAAACTATCGGTCTTTTGAGACGAAGCACTTATCTGCAAATCAGAGATCGCTCCATTTTCCATACCAGCAGGTGTTATGCAATCTGTAAGTTCGACAAAGTGGAACAAAACATGCCATAAACATCTTTAAGAAACACATGAGTATTAGCCTGTTCCCGACTCAGAGCGCCAGAGCATCGAGAAAAACTGCGCTAAAACCGCGGGAAAGCTGGAGAAAGACAAAGTGCGGCCTGAAAGCATTTTTTCAATACCTCATTCCAGCTCCGGGTATACCCTACGATTGGTCAGTCACGTCCATCCGCACGCGGCAGATACAAAGAATACACATAGCGTGCGTTGGAAACCCTCCTACAGGGCACATTTTGACATCTTAGGGACCGGTTATTATTTATCGCCGGGGGGGGAGGATTTGGGTTAAACAAGGTGAAATTTAGCTGATCCCCACTTTGAAAGTTACTTCACTGAAGTGATCCTCCCTAATACTTCTGATGACTTTCGCAATCCCGTCCATGTCTTCATTTTCCAAGCAAATTTGAGTGATTCCCCTTCTGAATCCTTCCAAAGTTTTCAGCGATGCCCCCGCTTGGGTTCTCCGTTACGGGTGATCCCCCCTTTTGCCCTCCTAAAAATCAAGTGATCCCCCATAAAATCCTCCGCCCCCCCCCCCCCCCTAGGCGACAAATGATGACCGGTCCTTTAACACGAGAAACGATTTTTCATGAAGTGAGCGGGGTAGTGGACAGACCGTGATATTTGTAAAGATGCTTACAGGCTGTTTCCCCTTCTCTCTTCCCGCCATCTTTCTTTCGGTCGCTATTTCACTGCTCGCCCTTTTTTTCGTTTGTCTACACTGACCTAGAGCCTGGCACAGGCTAAACAAGTATAGGCTATTTCCTAATGGTGAATGTTTGTGCAGAAAAAAAGTGTCCACTCTATTGTAAAATAAGCCAATTTTTTCAATCATTATCAGTTTATTACCTGGACAACCGTAAACTTCAATCCTCATTGAAATCTGATTTCTCCACTGCGTTGGCAAAAGACGAATGAAGCGTGTCTTGATCGACGATGGAAGTTTGTTGTACACAACCGCCTCACTATCTGTGTTTCCACTAAACACCTGAAAGTTACGATAAAACTGTGTTTTCATAATAATCCCTGGAGATCGACTTTAAAACTGATTATTATTCATTCAAAATATTTCCCCGATTCTGATTGGCTAAAAGTACACGCATAATTCACCATAACCAGCTACTGATGACCAAATTTGGGAGAATTTTGTGATTAATCAACCGATGAGGTCAGAAGTGCAGCTTGGTAAGCATTAGATCCCATCGGCCGTAGCCCATTTCTGCCCTTACGAAATTTACACAAGGAAGAAGTGTTTTCTGCAGTTTATATCACACTTAGATGACATTTCAGGCTGGAAATGTTCATGAAAGTACAAGTCTGAGAGAAAAACATTTTGTAATGATGGGCAGCAGGATTCGAACTCAAGACCAGAAGTACCAGTACATCACGCTAACCACTAGACCACTGAGGATTTGCTGGATGAGAGGGAAATAATGTAAGTACATTTTGAATCAACCCCGATCCAAAAAAAGAACGTAACCAGTTTCGAAACAGTGCTTAACTCTTGTCAGTAAAGGCAGTGCTTAACCCTAATCTGTTACGGGTAGTGCTTAACCCTAATCTGTAAAGGCAGCGCTTAACCCTAATCTATAAAAGGCACTGCTTAACCCTAATTAAAATATCAAGCAAATTCATCTTGTGTGATCATGTCCGTAATTCTCATGAACACTCTGTTTTTACAAAGCATTGACATCACAAGTAGAAATTTGATGCTGATCACTGATTACCTTTGGAGATGTACCTCCGACGTCTTTGTAAAACTGGAAGGTAGTACCATCATCACTGTACTTTAACTTGTATTTGGTCACCCAGTTGCTGTATCCATTCTCCCTTGGGTCGCTATCCGTGTAACTAGCGTATAGCTACCGAAATCCACCTGAAGCCATTGGTTGACATCATTTGTGAGAGCAGACCAGCCGCCAGATGTGCTCCCATCTGCTTGCAAATGCAGCCTTGCATGTGATGCAGAGTGGTTGCTATCCATCTGTGAAGATGCGCTTATCTGAGCATCAAGAATGGTTCTACTTTCCATCCCAAGAGGAGCTATACAACCTGTTAAATACAAACTCTTAATAATTATGTTATCTGTCTGTTGCGTGGTTATTGTAATGTTCTATTCGGTAAAATTCAGCAAGCAATAATAGGACACATCTACGCGAAAGTCAAGGGACATCATATCCGATTACTTACTATGTCTTATCGTTGCGGGGTATTCCCGGATTCGCTTTTCTTATCTCAACGAAAACCAACCTTTTGCAATTTTCAGTTCGATCCGGAATGATAGACGAAGAACCTCGTTGTGGGAGCACCACAACGGTATCAGTTGCCATGGGTAGATTGTTCACCGGTCCCGCAAGATCGTCGAGATCGAGAGCCTACCGTTTCGGGCCTCCATTTTGATTTCAATTTTCATTTTGAGGGCGGTCGTCGGTCGCGCTTCCTCCGAAACTGTGCCCTACTCCCTAAGTACATTTGAAGCTGTTCCCTAGCCTAGACTCGAATGATTGAAAAATTAGGCCCGGTTCAGACTCCGCTCCACTCATGTGCCGAACCTATTAACTGATGAACTATTTTAAAGTACGACAAAAGAGCGGCGTCTGAGTCAATCTGGTACGGCAGTTTTAGTTTGGTGAGGCAAAAGCGTTAAGTTTGACAGAGTCTGTCGAACTTTTGTCGAACATGGTGCGCCGTCTGAATCAGATGTCGCGCCAGTGTCGCTTCAAAGTCAAACTTATTCAATTAGGTTCGGCGCATGAAAAAATGAGTACGGCGTCTGAACTAAGCCTTGCTTCATTCTGTATGCAAAACAAAACGAATCAGAGTAATAACATAATCTCTTGTCTTCAAGAAGAAATGAACGATTTTTGTCTTAAACCGGTTTAGAGTTTGCCTCGGTGGCACACCTCAACCCAAACTTCCCCCACCCCACCCTCAAGGTAAACATCAACGAGCTAACGGGAAAATAAGGAACTGTTAAGAGGCCCCGCGCCTGAGAAACGACCGATGATTTCCGGCTAAAAAATAAAATCGGCCAATTTTTATCTCCCAAGTAGAGGTTACCGAATACTACTAAAAATTGAATTTCTTTTGTTTCAGTTTCGCTTTAAACCAAAAATATCGAGCGACAAACTTTTTCCGTCTGATAGCAGCAAAATCAAGCCTAAAATAAGCTCTCGCAAAAAACGGTTCAGAAATCACTATCGCGACGCAAAACAACGAGAAAACCACACAGCGATGAAGAAAAAGGCCTTTTAATGCAATATCATTCGATAAACATCGAGAAACTGCCGAAGGGAATAAAAAATAAATTTTCAAATATTGCATATTAAACTAGATGGAGCGTTGGAGTTGATTTTAGAATAATAATTTCTCAAAAGTCCAACGCTGCTCAAAGCAATCATAGTGATGAATCAGACATTGGATGGATATAGATCACGTTTTCGGAAAACATTTTTCGGCCAAAGTATACTGACGTTGTAAAACCGTTCAAAGTTACCGTATTTACCGTTGTTGCCACTTCGGCGAAACACCTCTCTGTTGGCAATATGGCCAAGGATAGCGTGGTAAACGCCACTTTAAGCCTTGCTAGGCGCTCAAAACCATCCTAAATAGAAGTATATAGAATTAAAAGAGAAAGGAAAATGAAAGATTCGCAGAAAAAGAGAAAAACTCGAAATTACCATCTGCTAAGGAGAGTTGAATCTTGGAAATGTTGTCGCGTGACAGCGTTCATTTGTCCGAACTGCAGCGGGATCCAAACAAATACGTGAAATATAAGTTTAAAAAAAAACAGTCTTTCTATCACCAGAAATCGTGAAGTGAAACAGTTTTATGTTTTTCCTATTAATGATGATGAATTCAGCCTCAGCTAGTCTCCAAGTACTTTGAATGTGGGCTGCTTGTATTTCGTTACATACATTCCAACGGACGTTACGGGTTAGCGCGTGTAGGGGTCAGCGGACCTGAAGAAAGGTGACGAAGTTGGAGAGCAACGCCATGCTAGGGGGGACATTGGTAGGTACCCAATACTGAAAATAAATGCGGTATCGGTATTTCGTCGATTTTTGACACAGTATTTCGGTATTTACCAATTTTTCTCACGGTATTGCGGTATTTAATCAATTTAATTTAATTTTGCGAGGAAACGTGGGACGACCTCGAATTGATCGGTACAACGAAGGAAAAAGATACCCTACCAATTTCATCAGAGATTATCTGTCAGAAATTGTGTAATGGTAATCATTTACCATTAATCTAAAGTCTTAAAATACTGACGTGCATAAAAACTAGCCTGCGTAGCAGGCGCTTGGAAATAGTGGGGGCAAGAGAGAACGGGCGCGAGGGAGACAAGCGAGTAGTCATCCAAACGCCTTCTAAGCAGGCTAGCATTAAACAGGAGAGGGCAATGAACAGTAGCGCAATACCGTGAAGGATCTTCTTTTACCGAATACCGTTAACCAAAAGGAAGAAATACCGCATACCGCAGGGCTAAATGATACCGCAATACCACACTTTAAAATCCAAATTACCGAAATACCGCTTGAAAAAAAGCTCAATACCGTAAGCCCCATTTCCCCTCCATGCTGTTGAAGAGGTGATAGAATATTTGGGCTTAAAACATCCAATTATATTTGACGTTTACAATCTTTGTCATAATTATCACAGCAACAAACTTTCATCTTTCAATGTTAGTGTTGAAAGACATGTGCGGGTATTTCGAAATACCTTACAAATCTACAGATCTAAAAAAGAGACCTTTAGCAAGGTTTCAGCGTAAAGGAATGTGACTGAATGCAGCAAAAATAATTTCATTCTGTAACTTTCCTGCGCAAGAGTTTGAGTGCATTGTATGCTGTCCAATTGGTAATGTGACAAGTTGTGCGTTGTGCATATTGGTTATCATCTAAATATCATAAATGTTATTGTGGAAACAAATTATGAAGCATATTATAAAATGAAGTTGCAAAATGAGTGAGGCACTGTCATCGATTTAAAAGTCCTACCGGTCTCCTACATTTTTTTATGATGTCCTCCCCAATATTTGGGTGACCCTATTCGGTGGAAGGGCGGAATACATGCAATATACGTAATACTCTAAAACACGGAATTTACAGAATATTCTGTATTTTATTTGAACTGGACTGACGAAAAGCAGAGGCAATATTAAAAATCAATTTTTCCGTACTGCCGTAAGCCACACTATAGACCTTATGACGGTTTTGAAAGCCATCTTGACGGGTGAAGGGTCCGGTGTCACAGGAATCTAATGTCGGATAACTTTCATAAAACGGCTGTTCTAAAAAAAAGAATTGTAAACTTAAGCTTGACAGGATTGTACTACCAATTAATGGGGGCCACACCTGTGCCTAAATTTGTCCGGTAGCTTGCTTTAGATTTTCCAGAGTCTTCAAAGTCTTCAAAAGAATGATCTCTTCTTCAAATTTTGTGGAGATTGCTCGGCTGGTCGTTCTGGCGAGGAAGGATCCAGGGACAACAAGTCCGTTTTCCAGTCTCCTTGATCCATTACCTTAATCGACTTGTACTTTGTTTTGACTTCGAGCTTTTTTAAGAAAGGTGAATATAAGGAAGGAAAGTTCCATCGACAAAGTGCCCAACAAGTTTCAAGGTAAGTCCCTCGCGTTAACTGAGCATTCACCGTCAGCCTTGTTACTGCTACAGTTTCAATATTGTTCGTTTTTAAATAAATATCAAAGTTCTTTTTTTAACATTTGGTTGTTTCTCAAAAAAGAAATAAGCGCCCTGTCCCGAATAAGCGTCCTCCCTAGAGGCACCATAAGTAAATAAGCGCCAGGGCGCTAAATCGAATCATTACGGTAAGTCAATTCTTTTACTTCGAGTTAATGAGAGTAAAATTAT